GACATGTGAATCATATAATTAATCATGTTAATAATCACCCAAATGGCTTCTGAAAAACAGGATGAAAAACAGCCAACTTTGATGCTTTATCCAGTCGGATGATCCGGATACCCTCTGAAAAAACAAACGTAGCAATGGACGTTTTCCTCTATAAATGGAAGTTTTAATCATGGAAAATGAGAACTACAAATGGGTGTTTTAGTGATTTTTAATGGAAGAATTATCGAAACAAAAACGGGAGTTTTCCATTGCCACGTTTGATTACCGGATGGTAGATTGTGGAATTGTAGTGTTTTAATTCTGGGCCAAGTAGGGGTTGATCACACAAGCCCCCCAAAAAAATACATCCGGTTAAAGATCGAATGTTTGCAATTTTTCGCGCTCCACCTAAGGGTGATGTATGAGAAAGGTCACCTGAGGAGAAGATTGATTTCCCTCTGGTGATCAAATGTTGCTAGCTTGATTGGAAACATGTGGAAACATCATCTACAAACTTTTTCTTTCAGTGCCATGTTTGGTCACCAGCGAGTATCCATCTTGATTTTGGATGGAAAATCATTGTTATACTGCGTTGTTGTGGAAAAGCTGATGTCTACCGGAAACATCTTCCAACCTGTCAGCTTCCAGGCTGCAGTGTCGCGTATACGTAGCTACTGTACCTTACATCCCCACAAGCCTTGTGAATGAATTCTCACTACCCCCACAGATCTCTGGGGAATTCAATTTTCGGAAGCCATCCCCTATGGGGATGTTGATCGTGGCATCACCTTCATATACCCTTTTTGTGACTATAGGCTATAGCTATTTGTTGGATCATATTCTTTAATGTGGATCTACAATGATCTATACATAATCCCGTCGGAATTAACACGACCCACAGACCCTCTGTTGAGGGCTCCATTTGCATCCATTTAGGGGAACTTCTTGAATTCGAGGATGGGATTACAAGGCGGTATTTCGTAAAGTGGGTTCCCTCATCAGGCTATTTCTGCAACGACATCGCCTCAAAGTCAGACTCGGGAGGGACCCCAAGATAGGCATAGCGTGGCCAATCGATGTCCTGTCCGCTGTGGATCTCGTTTCTGGGACATTCCAGGTGTTTGAAGAAATCACGTCTCGCAATCTGTGTCTCCCATCTAAAAACCCCCTTTGAAAATGACAGTTCCAGACCTAAGTCCATGTTCATCTAGATGAAACAATCATCAACATCATCAAGCCCCCTTTTTCCAATAACCAAGCCCCAATTTTCATGATACGTTGGAGGTCCTGAGCCAGGATGATCTTTGGCTTGCCTTAGAAGCGCCGTCTGTGGGAATTAAGCCCCAACTTCAACCAACTCTTCCCCCTTGTAGCAACCTTCAGCAAGCCTAAGTGACCCAAAAACACCATCCCAGTGGACCGAAAACCCCAAGATTTCCGGCCATTTCCTCCATGGGATGCCATGGGCCCCCAGCCAAGTGACTAGCCCCAGGCATGATGCCCGGAATCAGCGGTTCTTTGGGTCCATTGCACACATGGTGAGCGCCTCGAGCCATGCCCAGGCCTGCATGGAGAGGCGAAGCAGCGGTCGTTTTCTCACGGTGTTTTGAAACTGGCATGAGATTGTTTGCTACTTTCTGCAACCCCAAAAAATAGAATAAAAATAAATGATTGTTGGGTAAACTCTGATTCAAAAAAAAATGGGGCAATATTTTGGTGTATTTCAGAAGTGCTCTTCTGCATCTGGGGGTTTGTCAAGTGAGATCAACACATTTTTCCACTGAGGTCTAATTTCTTCAGCATCTTCAGCATACCTTCAGTGTCATGCTGGGCTCCAATGACGACCAATGATGAACGAGTCATCCCGACAGTTCCGCAGGGAGCAGATCGCCCTTTTTGTGACATCCCTATTGTGGCCATATGCTTGCCCGGTTGTATCTAAATTATTCCGTGTTATATATTTACTGTGTATATAACAATATATTACTTGCTGTCTAAATGTGAATCAACATTGGGTTGCTACCAAAAGAAGATGATTTTCTCGATGACAAAGACTGATGCGAAAAACGACCTCGTCTTAGCATATCCATCTTTTCCAGTGTCGCTATACACCGATGGTTGATTGCTCAGCTATCATTTCATTTCCATGTTCTGCAAGGATTCACCAACATTGACCCCCAAAATGACCAACATTTTTTAAAGGTATATGTAGGTGTATAAATCTGTAAACATATCAAATAAAACTATCAAGTCATATCTGCCAGGGTCAAGGGACATGTCAAATGCATTAACGCTATTTATGCATGATGAATAAATGGATCAATAACTCAACCTCTTTGGGCTGATAAGTATTCACCCATTGAAAAAGGGATGATACGTAATCACCGATCCTGGGTAAATTATCAAATACATGAATATACCACAAAGCTGAATTAGGGCCATTTTGGGAAGATTCCCTTTATTCACCATGACCCAATCAATTGAAAAAAAAAACGCGCCGGCTGAACCTTGGAACACCAACATAGCTTTGATGAAGCCTCGGTGAAGCGCAAAAAATGGTGGGTCGAAACCCTGGTAGGTACCCTAACCTATAGCTGGTTATAGCTGGTTATAGCTGGTTGTAGCTGGTTATAGCTGGTTATAGCTGGTTATAGCTGGTTATAGCTGGTTATAGCTGGTTGTAGCTGGTTATAGCTGGTTATAGCTCATTTGATTAGTTCTGAAGTTCCCAATTGGTTGTTGATTAACAGAATTTACCAAAGATATATCTTATATATAGCCAGCAATATGAGTGATAGTAACATGGGCAAATTGTACTATTTCACTAATTTGACATTTGCGGCCTTCTTCAGGGATGATTCCCCGACTCCTACGCATGATTCCAGGGTTCGGTCACCATGTTCGGCCACAATAATGTACCCAGGAATCGAACGATGGTCATAGCGAATATGATAATCATATTCCAAATTTGTCGAAACTTAAATATATATATATATATTTCTTTGCGATTCTATTTTAGTTTGGGGGTAATTTATTGGGATTTCCCTCACTCAGCATCGTAAGCATGGTCGACCGATGCTTTACCAAGCCATCCCAAGCTGAGTCACCAGACATGTTGGAAATGAAAACACATATTCCTGATGGTTTCCATTATGTGTTGGATATTTAGATCATACATCTTCAATTAAACAGAATCTTCAAATGACATGATTATCATCAGTGATAATCCAAAGTTAATTTAACACCATTTCCAAAATTATTACACGGCTATAAGTTGGAAACCCATACTACATGGACGAACCAGGACTTAAAAGTGAAACTGTCTCCATGTGCAGGACAGGTTCTCTCTGGAAAAAAACAATGCCACCCAGCTTCCCAGCTTTTCCTGATCCAAGAAGCTCATGGTTTTTGAGAAAGAAAGGCGAGAAATATCGAGAAATGATTCTTCCACCTGTCCACTCTTGAGCCGAAACAGAACAACGATGGCGGTCCTGTGGCGGCTGATCAAGTTTGGTGCCAAAAATGAAGCCCTGGATTGACCCTGTGGGAACAACATACAGTCATACGCAGCTATTATGTGAAAAATGCTATCATCATTCAGATTCTATCCTGTCAAGTTGGTGGCTTCAACCCATCATCAAAAATATTGGTCAATTGGGATCATCATCCCGGGTAGGAAGGAGATAAGAAGAACCAGTTTGAATTACTTTGTATGATCCCGCATGGTTAGCATTAAGATCTTTAAAACAATGCTGACATGTATACGGTACGTTATACATCCTGACACGTACTCTGACATAAATTCAGAGATATGTTCGCACATCCTTAAATATCTAATTAGATGATATTAGATCCCTTGGCGTCAATGTTGAAGTTTACCTCCTACGCGGACAATGTTGATGTTTAACCCCTGTGAAGAAACCTATGGACCTTGGAAGTGCATATTCATCGTTCCAATTTCCCAACGTGTAGGGCCCTTGGAACTGAGTTTGAACTTACAAGATTCTACAAGTATTGAATGTGCAAACAGGAAACACATCAAGGAACCATATTTGCAAGTATTTGCATTTTGACTGTCAGAGTTCACGGGAAAAACATGGGACCTTAAACGCTTCGGAAATTTGCCACTCCCGGAAATTCATGTCACAGATTGATATGAATTAATGCCCAAAGGCATCGGGAACTCGGTTTGGCCACCGGAGCACCACACAAACCCCCAAAAATCCTTAGCGTGAAGTACCCGTGAAGTTTGCATGGTGTTTACCCGTGAAATGCGATGTTTACCCGAGGAAAAGAGCACCCCCATGCGACCCCAGGTAACTTTTCGCTTAACCAGTCTGGTCATCCGGATGCTAACCGCATCCAAATTCCACCAGACTGGCCTCTGTTAAAACACCTCTCCCATGGCGTCTTTTGTTTCGAAGATTGAGTTTGGGGGGATCTAGGGCAAAGCACCCGCTCTCATGCAAACATAGATGTATCGTTGAGTGAAAATATAACAAAACCCTTTGGGAAAACTGTCAAATGTGATTCAAACTGATATCGCATGAGTTTGACTAATGAAGCATGTCCAAGATAAAGATGCGGCAGCAGTACGAAAGGTTGATAAATTTGTTGCACCTCATGTCTCAAGGGTAAACATCGACATTGATAAGTAAACATCGACATTACACTTAAATGCGTAGGTAAACTTCGACATGAGTGAAATGCCTAGGTCAACATCAACATTGGACTTTTCAGATGTATTTATAGGCATACATTATGACATGTGTCCGGACATATCTAACCTGACAGCTTTGGCGCAGGAGTTTGCTGTAAACACTCTGTAGACCAGCTGGAAGTGGGTGATTTACCTGACCTAACCTGGCAGGAAATCCATGGAAATCCCTGTTTAGTTTGGCAAATAGAGGTAAACCAACAAAATACCAAAGCGGAATCAAGGAGAAATTATGATCCATTGGTTGGAATTCTGCCGGGGACCGATCCCTCTTTTCATCTCAAGAGTCCCAGTCAGGCTCTACATGCTCTACGGTCCCGACCAATTGAATACCAGACAGGGGTGGAATCCAACATTGCCAAACAGGAGCTTTACTTGAAGCGTTCGCAACATGAACTCAAACAATCCACTTTGGAAAAAAAAAATTCAACCATATCCAGTCATATCAATGTAATATCCACATGTTTGACTGATGGAACAAGGATGTGCAGCCGCACAAGACCACAGTGTAGAAAACTTCTATTGGTTGATGATTATATACAATCCATGATGGAAAATCCTCGACAGTGGCTTTTAAACACTGCTCACAGCCTCGAAACCTGAATCCCTTATCATGCCGATGTCCTTTTTCTGATCGGTTCGATCTGCAGTAACCAGCTTTCGACAACTCTTCCCGCTGCTCGGCGGGGAGCTCAGCAGTTCCAACTCGTGCGGTCGGTGCGATTGGTCACATAGGTCAACAGAAAAACAACATGTTGCTTGTCATTTGTCATCTCGCGTGTGCCCCATTGGATAATTCCCAGATTGACACAGAAAATGCGAGAAAAGAAACAAACCCTTTTTTTGGATCCAAGTAAGTATACACGTTTGCGATTTGATGGCACATACAAAACGATGCATATATGCAATGCAAGAGGCGTTTATGCCCTCACCGAAAATATGTGGTGTATGATGGTATTCTAGGAACCCCCTCGAATTTCTGTGTGCCATCAAAGTGACTAAAGACACCAAAACTATCCAAAACTAGTGCCGTTATCCCCTGCATCTGCTGAAAGCAGGGTGTGCCATCTTGGTGTGACAACCCCCCCACTTGCAAGAAGTATGCACCTGCATGTCTTGTATAGGAAAACTCCATGTATGTTTTGACCTTCACTCTTGGTTTGTGCCGCTCCATATGGGTTTTTCTTGGGTCCTCCAGTGTGTTTTCTGCAATTTTGCATGGTTTTGCCTTCATTTTTGCATAGTCTTCCCCGATTGAATGGTCTGGAGAGAGGTATGTGCCATCTTGGTGTGCCCCCATTTGCAAGATGTATGCACCCGTCTTGTGTGGAAAGCTCCATGTATGTGTTGACCTTCACTTTTGGTTTGCGCTGCTCATTTTCCATGGTTTTTTCTTGGGTCCTGGAGTCCTCCAGTGTGTCTTCTACTATAATTTTGCATGGTTCTGCCTTCATTTCCCGATTGAATGGTCTGGAGAGAGGTGTGTGCCATCTTAGTGTGCCCCCATTTTGCAAAAAGGTGGTTTTGAGGCGCTACGCTTCATTCTTTTGGAATTGACGTGCCTGGATGTGCCATCTTAGTGTCTCGTGGCAGCCTCCCAAAAAATGTCTGGCCACCCAAAAACGCTTAACCCCTTGCTGGTTCTTATGTGAAGCAATCGGTTTTGAGGATCTGCTGTTCATTTTTCGCAGTGTAAAGGAGGGAAAAACCCAACCATCCAAAAGGTAGTTTTAGAAGCAGTTTTCATCTTTCTCGGACAGGATGTGCTTGGATGTGCCATCTTAGTGTTCCCTGGTAAAATCATTGAACAACAATGAAAACTAGTGAAAAAATGTTGGAAAATTCTCAAAAATGAAAAGACACACTGAAAAATAATGACACATATCTTAAAATATTGATCATTCAAAGCTGGGGACGGCAGGCTCGAGGACTTCGACCCAGGGACGGGAGGCTCGAGGACTTCGACCCAACAAAGGGGTAGTACACGGGGGTAATACAACGGGATCCTACAACGGGGAACAGCAGAAGGAGAGACAGCGAGGAAACAAAAGGGGACACAAAATGGAAAAATGAAAGATGAAAAAAATGAGAAATGTCATATTTATGATTTCTATTTCTTTTGATTATTTTAAACTAATGTTTCTATGTATAAATTGAATGAAAACATGAAAATCCTATATATTTTTTTGAAACATTGTTGTTGTAGTTTTTTCATTCGGTTTTAATACAAAAGTGTATCACAATGCTTATTAAAAACATGTTTTCAATATAAACCGGAAGGAAAGAAATTAAAACAATATTTCGAAAAATATGTGATTTTCCTTTTTCCATTCGATTTATATACAGACATTATCTTAAAACAATTAAAATACATTTACACGATATAAACGTGACATTTCTCACGTTCCCGTTGTTTCCCTCCCGTTGTGTCTCCCCATGTTGTTGTTTCTAACGGTGGCTCCCCGTTGTGGCCATGTGGCCTGGAGCTGGGAAACAAAGGGGAAACTCCGGAGGCCCACCAGTCCCGAGTTGGGTCGAAGTCCTCGAGCTTTATTATGTTTTTTTCGAAATACACCAATGCAAAAGAAGTTTTAGCAGCAGTTTTCATCCTTCTCGGACAGGATGTGCCTGGATGTGCCATCTTCGTGTTCCTTGGCAACCCCCCTCAAAATTATCCAAAACTGGTTTTTGATTGTTTTGGAATGATTTTGCAAAATGTGGCAAAAAGATCAGAAAATCAGGCCGCTCAAAAGTGCTCAATCTCTTATTGTGTCATTTGTGAAAATCGTGGTTTTGAGGCGCTACGCTTCAAATCGATGTGCCTGGATGTGCCATCTTAGTGTCTTGTGGCAGCCCGCCACAAGTGGTGTTGAAACAGCATCTGGCGACCCAAAAATGTTTCACATTTTTGTTGCTTTGAATGTATAGTTCAATGACCCGAACCTCTGTGCGCAGATATTGAAATTTTCTGGGCGATTCTTTGGCCGTGTGCCATCTTTACTCTTCTTCATTTTGCTGGGCTGGTTTGACTATAATTATATAATTGCCCGAACCTTACTGAGCGCCGCTGTGTGCAGATATTGCAATTTTCTGGGCGAATCTTTGGCTGTGTGCCATCTTTACTCTTCTTCATTTTCCTGGGCAGGACCTTGATTTAGCCGTTGTAGGAGACGTTGTCAAAACTCATTGTCTTAATTGTCTTCCCTAAGTTCCCGAAACCCGGGTATTGCTTTTGGGGGTGGGCCTATGGTTTTGTCAAAAATAGGAAAGGAAAAGGAACAGAAAAGGAAAAGAAAACGAAAGGAAGAGGAAAGGAAGGAAGAGGAAGGAAGAGGAGAGGAAGGAAGAGGAAAGGAAGAGGAAATGAAGAGGAAAGGAAGAGGAAAGGAAGAGGAAATGAAGAGGAAAGGAAGAGGAAATGAAGAGGAAAGGAAGAGGAAAAGGAACAGAAAAGGAAAAGAAAAGGAAAAGGAAAGAAAGATGAAAGGAAAGGAATGGAAGAGGTAAGGAAGGAAGAGGAAAGGAAGAGGAAAAGGAAAGGAAGAGGAAAAGGAAAGGAAACGGAAAATTTGAACCGTACCTAAACAAAACTATACATATATATATAATGTATGTATATATATATATGCATTGTTGCTTTTATGTGTTTGGTCTAGTATAGTCGGCTAAGATGGCACACGACTGCCGCAATGGTTTTAGTATAATCTATTTTTTTCCAGTCATTATTATGGACCCTAGGAATAGCAGTGTGCCGCCACTTTGGCCCTTGCGATTTTTTGAATTAAATGCCTGCTGCCATGTTAGACCCACCTGGTTTCGGTGTGCCATCAAATTGGGTTTCTCTATATCTTTTTAAGAAGTATTTACAATATAATTGGGATCTTAAGTAATTACCGTCCAAGGAAGTGTTCGGATTCATAGGGAAGTACTTCAAACTGCCACTTGAGTGTTGTGCTCTCATTGTTCTGTATTCGTGCCTTGGTTCTTTTGTGGACATTGCCACGAGTCATCGAACGTTTTCTCGGAATATCCGAGCAATTCCGAGCATATGTCAGCCATAAGCATGTCAAATCGAGGTGACAATTAAGCATTCAAAATCTACATAGACTGCCCCTATCTATCTGCTAAATACTGAAATGACTTAGAGCATGAAAGAACACTTAGGCCAGGAATGGCCAGGAAAATCCGTGAAACTCCAGGTTTTGTGGTAAGAAACATCGCCAATGTGTCGACCTGCAGAAATCAGCACCAATTGCACTCGTTCTCAATTGAAAGGACCCTGCGCGGCGGTTCGGATGGCAGGCATGACAAAGCACGGCTGCCACAGGACTCTCCGTACAACCTGCCTGACACATAGTATTTGCATCTTGGCTGGATGTGAATGGGTTGGCTTCTGATGGCTGTTGATCATTTACGTCCCACAATCGTCTATCCGACACCACTGTAGCAAGGTGCACTGTAGCAAGCTTGCATGGTTCGCAGGTGCGCAACATCCAATTTCTCTCCTAGGGAGAGACGCTCGACGTGAAGACGCAAGTTGCCTTTTTTTTGGCGGCGATGGGTGGTATCCGGCACCAAATCAAATTACTATTGATTGGGGTTGGACGTGCCCAACCCCAATCAACTACAATCATCAATGATCATCAAATCACCAACTCATCAACTACAATTCTCCATATTTTCCCATGTACTATGAATCATCAAATGATTCCCACGGTGGAATGGTCATTCAGGGCCAGTTTGTGCAGGTCATTTGACGCTGCTACCACCATCGCACGGCACGAGCTCGTCATGGTGGCCGCCAGGTCTGGCGGTCCCGCGACAGGCGTTCAAACCTCGGATGCTTTGGTATGGAGGGAGACATTTTCGAAAGATTGGGATCAACATAATCTGGGTAAATAATAATATTTCACTAACCTGAAAGAAGGCTGTTTTGTTGCTCGTTGCCCTCCTGCTACCCCCCAGCGACGCGCAAGGGGCAGCAATTGTTTCCGAAGGATCAACCGTGGTATTCAAGGGATCATACCCACATGATGCTGCATACAATGCCCCAATTCGGCATTGACAGTGGCAGGTGAAGCTGTTTGACATCTACCACTAATTACACATATCAGGCTAGCATTTGCCAGGCCTAAAACACCTGAAACTAGTTGGCAAAAGCAAGTTCCAGGGATGGGTAGTGGACACCCAAAAATGTAGCCATTGACACGAGCAAACCAGAAGAAAGGAACATCTGGAAGAGCCAGCATAGAGATACAGCACATAGATTCAGATGACAATCTCCACATGCAGATGTAGCTCACCCAACTAGACCAGAAAGGTCTTCAGTTGACACATTCCACTAGTAACCATTAGGAAGCTCATAACAGGCCAGGCCTGGTCAATGGCATGTTCCATGGCTGCAATCTTTTGGCTCTGGGCCTCAATTTTGGTGTCCTGATCTTGCAGTCTGGCTTCTGATGGTCCTGGCAAGTCCTTCCCTAAAACTGGTGGCAGCACTTTGCTTTGCGCGGCTTTGGCTCATGGATCAAGGCCTGTGAGGCCTCCAATGACCATGGTGGGTTCTTGCTTCTTGTCTGACTTCAATGGCATGGGACCTTGTAGTGTGGTAAGGTGGTAAGACCAACACTCACCGTCAGAGCCGTTTGGATATCTGATTTTCACCGTTTCACCTGTGTGACCATGTCAGAAAGACCTGGAAAAAATCTGTTCTCATACATGGCAATGCTGGATCCTTATGCAAACATCTGTTGTGCCTTCAGACATCTAATGCCGTTGTGCATGTCAAAGTCCATGTCATCAATTAACACATTGTGCCTTGGATTAATCCACCTGGTACCACTGTGACCATACATTTCCAACCCAGAAAACAGATCTTTCAGTTTCAGGGGCATCGGCCACATAGCCATTGCAAGGTGTCACGGTCCAATCAGGGTGCTACCCATGCACCACAAGTCACGCCCCGGGGAGGCTTGGACCCTATGCTTAACCTGAAAGAAGGCTGTTTGGGGATGATTCCCCTTACTAACCAGGATTCCAATGAGGTCGTAGTGAGGTCGTTATAATTTACCCAGACACAATGGAACATACAGTTCCAATGGAGGGAGACATTTATGACATGTTCCCTGGAATGATATTGGGATGAAAATTATACAGCATGTAAACAGCAATGAGGAGAGAAGTGAAAAACAAACAAAATGCTGGGTCCTTGAGCCTTCGTCCCAGCATGTGGCCCAATTTATCCACAATGATGATCTGCCATCAAGTTTTTTTTTACGGTTTTACAATTTTTCCAACATTTCCAAACCCGAAAATGGAAGGACGAAGCAGAACCGCTCTGGATCGAGTCACTTAAACTACCGGGCAAGGACAATAGCCATCCTGGGCTGCGGCGGCATCAATGAGTTTCATCATTTCTGTTGCTGGCACGATAGTTACTATATGGATTTGCTTGCGAAAAATCACACTATTTGATGATAAGTTTCTACCAATTGGAAAACTGAGCCTTATCAATAGTATTAATGATTAATGCGTCCTTTTCCAGGAGTTAAGAACTTTGGGCCGCATTGATCCAAATCCAAAACGCAATGTTAAACATAAAAATAACAAACACACTCAGCAACCATCAGTTCTTGATTCTATGTCATGACATGGGTCATTGAAAGTAACTTGATCGAAGCTCGCGAAGCTCCATCGAAGCTCTACCGACTCTCATTTGTGATTCAACATGTTTATCAAATGGTTCAGGATGCGAAACAAATCATGCCATTCCGTCTTTATATTGGTTGATTAATCAGGAGTCTCATACTGGGTTAGTTCACAATATCCATAAACATTCAGTAAACCAGGTAGTATAGGAGTATATATATATATACATTATATACATAGTATATACTAAACCCCCGTACAATAACCAATCAACTGGCGTTTTGGTCACTAGTCACTTTGCTTGATGATCTACATACTATGGAAAACAGCATGGCACTGGGTACCAAACAATCTTAGCAATGCCCATAGTCAGAACAGTTATGTGGGACTATGTGGGTACGGGCAATGAAATCAGGGGCATGCCGGCCTGCAAGTTCCGGTCCTGTTCAAGACACTGGCATATTGTCTGTTTCTAGTTTTTGCCTTTAGATGCCCAGCACGACCTTCTGACACGTGTTCACCTTGTAAACCAAAGCATTCAAACTTAACCAAAGGTAAATGGACCAGGTTCTAGACTTACTGTGTACAATGTGTAACCCATTTCAGGGCGGCAACAATGACACTTGCGCACGATCGAACATTCATTATCCAACATCTCTTGGGATCCATTTCGCCTCCACTGGTCTTCCAAAGTATTCATGCTAAAACTAGATCTTTATACTAAAGTGGATAATTATACGGTTATACTTAAGTATTAAGTCACATCTGAGTCACACCTACTAAAAGTGCATCATGGATGGTAAGAAAATTAATTAAATATCTTATGAATTCAATGAATTCAACATTCATTCCATTTACATTCCATTTACATTCCACATCAATTAACCCGTTTTATCCCAACGGGCCATGGCTTCCAAGGCTCGGCGCAGGTCGAGGTCAAGGTATCCGTGGCCTTCTCCCAGATGGGCGTTTCCTCGGTGGCGCCTCCTGGGAAGTGCTCGTTCGGGAAGCAGGATTCGGTCTCGGTGCGGCAGGAGGGGACGTTGCATCTTTTTTAACAAAAAAAAGGGAGTGGAAATAGAGCGGAACATGATTTTGTTGAGGCTTCAGAAACAAATTGGAGAGCTCAAAAGATGGTCAAATGTCCAGAACAAGTTCATTTTTTTGTCTAGTGCTTTTAAGAACAAAACCTGGAAGTCTTTCAAAGGGCGAAGCTCCACGGGTTGAAATTTTCTTTCAGCCGATCCGGGGGCCACCGACCATACCAAATATGGCCAATCTTGGGCACCCTACAAAATTGATTTTTTGCTGATTGGGTTACTGTATCTGTAGCAAAAAAAACACTGGTAGGAGCACTGGTCAGCTGGTAGTCACTGCTAGTCAGTATCCATGACCAGCCGGTGCACCCATAGATACCCATAGTATTCCTATGATTCACTTCCCATTTCTTTGCTATAAGAAAAGAGCATCAGCAAAACCCATCGTATAATGACTATCCACTACCCTCCAAAATCGAAGCACAATCCAGCTCCTCCAGTTTTTGCCCGGTTTTTCCAAGACTCACCTTCGAACATCCCTGGGGATCCCATCTTGGCCCAGGGCTATGCCGAGATACAAAGCTGTGCTTCACGCAAGCGTCATAGTAGGCCTTGGTCTCCAGGAATTTGTCAATGCAGGGGTCCAAAATCTTGGCCAAACCGGAGCCTCGGCGGCCGAAAGGTACGCCCGGATGCAAATGTCGTGTTAGTATGTTGATCTTCATGCAAAATCCAAGGGATATTCTTCAGCAACAAGACATATTCATACTAATGGGATGTTAATGGATATTAATGGTATATGGAATATCTTTCTTGATACTAGATGGGATATGAAACGGATATTACTGTATCAATGAGGATATGATGATATGCAACCGCAACGGATTGTCAGGTGTGGTTTTCTTTGGCAAATTGATGCCGGAACCCATGGGCAGGGTCCAACGACTTGATCAGTGGGGGTATCAACCCAAGATTGGGGGTGATATAACAAATAACTAGCAAAGATGGATATATCACCAGCCAATAGGTGTCAAACATCATTGGAAAGGCACTTAATAAATAAAAAACAACATCGGTTACTAACATACGTGGGAAATGTGATATGTATATGAAGAATTGTATATACGTATATATATATATATATACATACACACGTATATGTATACAACAGGAACTAACTAACAACACAATATAGCAACATTTAAAGTTCAAAAATAGTGGCACTGTGACCAACAATGTAAGGAGATTTTGTCGGGTTAAGGAGGATATCCATGGGGAAAAACTATGTATGTATGTATGTATGTATGTATGTGTGTATGTGTGTATGTATGTACGTATGTACGTATGTACGTATGTACGTATGTATATGTATGTATGTGTATGTATGTGTATGTATGTGTATGTATGTATGTATGCATGGATGGATGTATGTAAGTATGTAAACATGTAAGTATGTAAGTATGTAAGTATGTAAGTATGTAAGTATGTAAGTATGCAAGTATGTATGTAAGTATGTAAGTATGCAAGTATGTATGTAAGTATGTAAGTATGTGAGTATGTAAGTATGTATGTAAGTATGTATGTATGTTTGTTTGTATGTATGTATGTATGTAAGTATGTATGTATGTATGTATGGGAGTATGTAAGTATGTATGTAAGTATGTATGTAAGTATGTATGTATGAATGTATGTATGTATGTATGCATGTATGTATGTATTTAATGTACATGTATATATATGGATGTGTTGGGGAATCATCATCCCAGGTAAGTCGTGAGTAGCAAAAAATATTCAAAATCACCAAATGACAGTGATTTTGAGTGAAGAACAATCTCCAAACAAATTGACACATGCCAGGCCAAAAAACAAACTCACAGAACAACACTCCTGGTTAAATATGAAACTGGCTGGTGGAATAATTCCGGCCATCCATCATTTTTTCATAGTTTTGTCATACTTGGGCCGGGATCATCCAATTTTTAGGCACGGAGAAATGGAAAAAATGATTGAAACCACAAGACAGGGTCTTAGTGTCTTTTTGAGGGGATGGGGGCGAAAAGTTGACGATACCATGTGTTTTCTTCCAAGTTAATCTCCTGTTTTTGGCCAATTCTCTCAAACCCTCAGGAAGGTTCCTTTTGATCCATGCTCAATGTAACCAGCAACCAGGATTCAAACCAAAATGCGGTGCTATACTGCAATCATTGTTCAACATCAAAACTGCAAACTTTGGGGTGTGTATATATATATATATATATCACATTTCCGAACAAATATTCCTGCTGTTAATCACCCCAATGATCCCGATAAACAATATTCGATTTGTAATGCTGGTATATCTCCGAGAGAGATATATATATATATATATATGTGTATATAAATCAAAAAATGTAAATAATGAAATATACGTAAATAAATATCTATATATATATATCTATATATATATATAAAAATATAAATATGTGTATATCCAAATATATAACTATATATATAAACAGTAAACAGTATCATTGCACATGTGAGGCTGCCAGCTTGCATTGGCAGAAGCACATGTACCAACGTCTGTATCCTTGCTGCCTATATTGAGCAGCTCCTGTTTGTGTTTTGCGACCCCCAAAAAAAGGGCCACGTTCCGGACCCAGAAATGGGTCGCAATTCAGTTGGAAGCCCAGCTTACAAATTCGTGGCTCCTGTTTTGGGCCGATGGTCTGGGCGGCTGCCTTTCCGTAAAGCGCGCGTTGAACTGCGACAATGAACGTCGTTCATCAATGGTTTTTGTGCGCTCGGTTGCCAAGATGCTGGTTTCACAGTATATATGTTTGACAAATCTTATAACTTATAATTGCCTCAATCTCTTTTACTTTGGCACAAAAAAGCGCAAGGGTGTCCAAAGAAAACACACAGATGGAGGTCTCAAGACCTGCCAAGGGACCCTTCTTGGACAAAGCCAGGGTGGTTCCAGCCTTGGCGTGGCCGAACAGGCCAGTCTGGATGTAGGCGAAGGTTGTCCCCCAGCCACTCCACAGCGTGCACCAGCTGTCCTGGGTTGAAAACGGGACTGGGAAACTGGGGCCCCAAACCAACTGGCTGTAGGGAACACATGGGGATATCATGGAGATATCATGGGGATATCCCTAAAACTTCCATTATATCACCGATCATGTTGACGATCCCATTGAAGACACTTTTTTGGTCAGAGTTTGATCACTGAAAGTGCCAGTGGTTGAACTGAACAGAACCCCAGAACCCCTTCTGGTGTTGGGTTGCAAGACTGGATAATTCTATCTTTTGGTGATTGGGCCATGATTGCGTACCCCATTCCCTCCCTTGGTTGATGTCACCATCTTCACTATTAAAACTGCAATTTTATTGAGCCATACTCTATTTCTTGTTGGTTGTACATACAAGATTGCATAATATTGCATATATATATATATATAATACTATCGAAGGAAGTATAGAAGTCAAACTTTCGACAATATGGACAGATGAAAAGCAGAGATGGGAAGATTCAGAGAAGAGAAGAGAAGAAGAAAGAAGATCAAAAAAGAGAAAGTTTCAGAAGAAAGAGGATCCAGGTGCGCGAAAAGTCAGGAAAGTCGCGAAACACTGTGTTTTTTCCAATGATTTGTGGCTCCGGAGGGTCGAAAAGTAGGCACTACCTTTGGGGTAGATCCATATTTCCAAACTAAACAGCATTTGATGCTACCAACAAGAAGGCGGGGAACTTCAAGATCATCCGTGAGGTTGACAACTTGATGGACAGTGGTTGAGGTAACTCTTGGTAAACTCTCACTCATGAATCATATGAATATAATATAGCTTGGAGATCCCTGGATCATTCACAATTAAACAAGAGACCATCCAAATCATTCACCATGAGGATATCCTGTGGTTATTTAACAGTTTGCCATGGAAAATGATCCACTTCTAGATGATTTACATTGATTTACCTACCAAATATGATCGTTTTCCATGGCAAACGGTTAGCCGAAACCGGCGAGTGTCAGTGGCTCCCTCGGCGCACTGATAGTTCTTGGCCTGGTCCGCGTAGACCCACATGGCATCTGCTTCGCCAGCCAAGAGCGCAGTAAGGGCATCCTGGGCGACAAAAAAAGGGGATCTGACCAAAATGGTGCTATAGTGATATGAAAATTAATCTAACTAACCAAAACGGTGGTTTAAATGGGAGTTGATGGGGATATAATTGGGGTATAATGGGATATTGAACCAAGAATTGAATATAGTACAATATGATAAGCAACAATATACTATAAACATACTATCCCCCTAACACTAAACACCCCCCCTCAGGTTTATCATGGTTTAACAGGTGATGAAACCACATATTTAGGACTGTAGAATCGGTGTGTTTAATATTAGGGGGATGGGGTTATCATGGGAAATAATTGCCTTAAAGGGAGCATAAATTATAACATTTTTTCATTTATCCCCTTTCGATCCCCGTCCCGTGACAGTCATAACATATTGCCATAAAAATCTATTAAAAAAAACCTTTGACATCCCATGTTTGAACACTAAGTTTCCCCATTGTGGATGGTTAAATCAATAAGAAACAAACCTGTTAAGCCTGCTTTTTCGTGGTTGTATCTCCATTTTCCACTGTTTGTAGATCATTTTCCTAGGGAAAACAAAGGGTTTTTCCATGGTGTTCCGCAGTCTTTTCTATGTTTGCCCCAGGCTATCCACATTTTTCCGCTTCGAGGCGCGTTGTTGGCGTTGTCCGTCGTGGTGCTTGGCTTCACCATTTCGAAACCCGTGAAGCGCTCCTTGCCAGGAGCTACTTGATAGCAAGGATATGTCTATTGTCTATGTATATATATATATTTATTTATGTAAAAATAAACATCTGTACTAGTGTAATGTGATTGAAATCTCATGCATTTCTATGATTTACTCTTAGATCAATATCTTAAAATCGTCATAGGACTTGTAGTTCATTTTCAGCGACATCGTCACAGCGAGGCAGTTATGTTACCTATACATAGATAGGCAAACCCATGACATTTTGGCAGACAATCGATCGAACTAGACTGTATAATACTATATGTGTATATATATATATCCATACTTATTAGTTTTCAAATATAGTATATATTATATATACACAAATCATATAGGAATCATCTTGGCTGCGCTACCTTTTCCGCTCCGGCGTTCCACATCGTTCCGTGCTCCGCGCCTTGGTGCACTTGTTCTCTGCCAAGGCCAAGGTATCGGCGGTGGGAGCCCAGCCCACCACGTCCACCACCTTCTTGCCTTAGAGCCAGGCCAGCTAGACCTGGTAGGTTTTTCTGGCGCCGAAAATCGGAAACTCAAAGTTCTATCTTAAGATGAAAGCTAGGGATTTCTGCAATTTCATTGATGTAAGATCGACGTATTGATCAATTTAAGTTCATGGGATATATATTTACCGCCTATAGTTGAACCGTGTCTTTGGTTAAGGGTAAACAGTTAAGGGTTGAACCGTGTCTTATAATTGCCAGTATCAACATGGCAAAGTTTCCCTCTAGTAGTATACAGTAGCCATGAAAGGTCGATCCAGTGCAGTGAAAAGGATGGTGGGGAAGTGACACGGTCAGGGGTTGCTTTCCAAAAATTCGATGTCTTAGTCCAATAAAACACCAAAGTCATGATCACGTCTTGACTTGACTTGATAACGAATTCTAACTGAACCAATTCATGGGTGGGAAGGTCTGCTTCAAATTGGCATACAAAGTTGGCCAGCAAGAGGCAAGTTGCTCTATGACTAAAGACCGGGCTTTATGGCGAATATATGTAAAGTCAAATGGGTTTGAAACCAATTCATAGCTCGGAGGCTCACTCTAAGTATAGGCATACCCTGTCTCAACAGATGGGGGCAAGCGCAAACAAAACCATACAAAACCAACAGTTGGTTTTGTCTGAAAACAGGGTCCCAAAAAAAAGTGAATCATAATTCTCCCCACGAAAATGGTCATTACTGCGGGTACCCTGATGCAAATCATCCACCCACAGAGCGGTGTGGCGTTTCCACCTCCAGGGTTGGTTTCCAAAGATTTTTCACTGGCTTTAGAAGATGCAAGAGGTCGCAAATTTGGTCACGGAGACATGCTGATGGCAGATTTTGCTGCCGACTGCTGCAGCTCGTTTTATCGAGCTCCAGTGCTGCGAGGTGCCGCACGTACAAAACAACACATGTTCGCACCACTTTTGGAGGTGCAGATGTCGAAAAAGAGCACGCCGTTGTGGCGCGAAGCACATTTCGAAGTCAAAATGTACAAAACACAGCACGTTCGGACCACTTTGGACGTTCAGAGATAGATACATAGACAGATAGGTAGAGAGATAGATAGATAGATAGATAAATAGATAGATAGATAGATAGATAGACAGACAGAGAGATAGATAGATATTGAGAGAGAGAGATAGATAGATAGATAGATAGATAGATAGATAGACAGATAGATAGATAGACAGATAGATAGATAGATATAGATAGATAGATAGATAGACAGACAGAGAGATAGATAGATAGATAGAGAGAGATAGATAGATAGATAGATAGATAGACAGATAGATAGATCGGTAGGCAGGTAGGTAGATAATCTGAGAAAGAAAGAGATAAAGAGCAAAAGAAAAGAACAAGTAAGAGAGATCAATCACCTTTCAGTCCATCAGTGGCTTCGCTCTGCCAACCCTGATTCACAACAACCAATCTCTCCTATAGGTTTCCTATTTTTGAAACTTCCGCTACCACCTTGTGCGGTACTACTGGTATGGGAGAATGTATAGTTTGTTTGCTTTACAGTGATTGTTACACCACTATCGTGTATGATGTAGATAATATTTTTGTTGCTAGATGTCGTGTTTTAAAATGCCTGCAATTATCAGAAAAAAGAAGTTGGTAATTTTGTTTTATTCACAGATTGTAAATCACAGGTGCATGCACTTTGCATTCAAGGAGTATCTAGCATTTACAATATTTATCTAGATGCGGTAGTTGTTTTGAAGCATTGGTGAAGAAATAACTGCACGTATTTCATTTTTTTTGCTGGTTGAAACCTATGATTGTTGTCTTTTCCGGGCGGTCCTCGGTTTTCCCGTGATTTCAGGTAATTGTCAGGGATAATTTCCATTCCAGCAGTATTCTTTCAAACTCACAATGTCGAGACCCATTTGAGTATTTAAACCTGGGACAAATACCCCGTTGGAACTGTTTTGGGAGAAACAAGATCCCATTGGATATGTCAACCTGGTCATTGCCATCCAAAAAAATAGAAAAGAAAAATCTCCATTAGAAATCAGTAATCAAACCTGCTTTTTCCGGGAAATGATCAATCTTCAAAAAAAATCGGATTAAGCAACATATAGCACCTAGGCCGCGTTGAAAATAATTTCAACGGCTCCTCCACTGAGTGTCTGACACACTGCCGGTAAACTGGGACGCACCCACGTCCTGCGAATCAACCAACTTCCAACAACCTCCTTTTCGTGTCATGCTTCTAGATTGCAAAACTCTCGCAAAACCATGGATGGACAAAGTCCCTTTTCTTCAATACAATAAAATAAAGGACATCACATTTGCACGAATCTGAATTGACCTGAATTTTATTCAAAGGAAAAAAGTTCATGTCAATTCCGGACTGTCTTGGTCCGTACATGGTCAACGTTGTCTAATCGACTAATGCAAGTTCCTGTCCTGAAAAACGCCTTGCCCATACGGCTGACGGCGGTGGCAGCGGTCGCACTCCACGAGTGCTCCCGCGCGTGGCCTCGTCCGGCACAGAATATTTGATAAAACACCGACTATTCATCAGCTAAAATAGGCTCACCATTTGCCAATCTACTTCACACAAACGAAGAAACCAAGCCATCGCCTCTGTCTCGTAAATACTCCTGTACATACACAACACTATTTAATATTTCTTGAATTGCACAAGGGGGAAGCACGTATTGAATTATTTATTCTCCTGAACCACGATGCGTGCCAATCTTTCCAAGGCTCCAACACCCAAAGATCCAGATTCTTGCAGTTCTGGATCGCCACCTTCTCCGGCTCCTCCTCCTGTCGCCAAGCTTGTTCCGACAGCATTCTCGCATCAAGCATCAATAAGTAGATCAAATTCACATCAAATCACTCCCCTGCACCATCCTATGTCCACAGATTCTGCCTTATCTTCTCACACACACACACCCCTTCCTGACGATTCCCGCCTGCGTCGGCAACCTGATCCGACCTAGGCACACAATGTATATGCTAACTTGTTTCATGTCGTTCCTCTTCTTTCGTCAGTTCACTCATAATAATTGAGCGCCCGGCGGCGTGGCCGCAGAGTTGTTGCCGAACGCAAGATCCCCGGAGCTGGAGCCGCGCAACCGGTGCGGAGGCGTCTCCGGTGCACGGGCCAGCTCCGGTGGAGCTGCAGGCTGCGGCACCTGAAACTCCCCAAAGCTTCAGTTTCAATGGTGCGGTTGGTTTCGTTTCTCACTAACTCTTTTGACCTCTCACACACACTGACACACTTGCAAAAAAAAAACTCGAACCACACCATAACATACCGTACTTTGTCAGTCTTTCGTGATGTCCCTAAACAAGCAGGACCCTTCAGACAAGACAACAAAATAAATTCCTTGACTGATTCTATATCCATGACTCCATGACTCCCTGGTATTCCAAAATGCAACCGACGATTCAATGATTCGACCAACTCACACAAAGTTCCACTCGGGAGCATGAAATTCTCTCGCCAAAGCACGGCGGGAGCCCAAGGGAACGGCGCCGGCGCTCCCCCGAGGGGTAGTAGTACCCTCGCCTCACAGATTCATTTACACACTCAAGATAAGCAGCCAGAATATACGAAATAAAATAGACACTTCTCCGCATCAGGTCTCTGTCTTTCAAAAACCTTTTGCCAAAACACCCTTTGTCCGTTTATGACTCATACGAAACATGATCTTGAATCATTTTTTCGACTTGTTTTTTTCTTTGCTTTAATGCATCCCTTCAATGAACCCAACCAGCCATACAAAGTCCCATGCAAATTCATCTCACATTCAAGGCGTGACGCACCAGCTGCTGCACCAGGCTGCGCAGCTGCCGCCCGCCGCGCCGGTGTTACGCAGCCTGCCCGCACCTGAATCGCATGAAATTCAAGCAACGCAAACTTCTGCAAAGATTTCTGACATTCAGATCCCACCCAGTTCATGTCAAAAATCATGATTTCAAAAGAAAAAACCTCGTCACAACATTTACCGCCTGCCAGTTCTTATCACGGCAATTGCTTCATGGCAATCCACGAAAAACAACAGATTTCAAGAAGCACCGTGATTTAAATCACCTCGCGTTCGATTTTGTTTTGAAATGTCAGCAAACCACTTTCGAACAACATTGAGAAAGTTCAATACAAAGTCCTGCGGCCAGGGCACGGGAGCTACTGAAGCACCCACTGGCGTGGCTTTCGCCGTGCGACGCCGCCTCCGTGCCTGAAAAAAAACAATTCACTTAGGACCGTGCGGAAGAGGCCCAACAAACTAACCGTACCCTATTTAGCCCTTAGCAAAAAACACACAAAAAAGGATTCTCCAAAACAGTCGCCTATGCCAGAACCAATACAGTCCACATCAGTCCCCGGTTAGTTTCAAAACCGCTTGTCAAAACAAGATGCAGCCCACCAACCCGAATGCTCACACGTATGTTAATGGTACAGATGTCGAAACACATGGATATGCAGTCACGCAAAACACTTTTCTGCAATATTTTATTTGAACAGTCTTGTGCATATTTCCCCTGTTACCAGTCTGCAGTGTGGAGTGGAAAGTCTAGAGTGTGGAGTGTAAAGTGTAGAGTGTGGAGTGTGGAGTGTAAAATAAGGAATGTGGAGTGTAAAGTGTGGACTGGGGAGTGTAGAGTGTGTAAAGTGTAGTGTGTGGAGTGTAGACTGTAGAGTGTGGTGTGTAGAGTGTAAAGTGTAGAGTGTGGAGTGTGGAGTGTGGAGTGTAGAGTGTCGAGTGGAGTGTAGAGTGTAGAGTGTGGAGTGTGGAGTATAGAATGTGAAGTGTGGAGTGAAGAGTGTAAAGTGTGGAGTGTGGAGTGGAAAGTGTGGAGTGTGGAGTGTAAAGTGAGGAGTGTGGGGTGTAAAGTGTGGAGTGGAAAGTGTGGAGTGGAAAGTGTGAAGTGTAAAGTGTGGAGTGTAAAGTGTGGAGTGAGGAGTGTGTAGTTTGTAAAGTGTAGGGTGTGGAGTGTGGAGTGTAGAGTATAAAGTGTAGAGTGTAAAGTGTGGAGTGTGGAGTGTAAAGTGTGGAGTGTGGAGTGTAAAGTGTGGAGTGTGGAGTGTAAAGTGTGGAGTGTGGAGTGTGGAGTGAGGAGTGTGGTGTGTGTGTGTGTATAGTGTAGAGTGTGGTGGAGTGTGGAGTGTGGCGTGTAAAGTGTAAAGTGTAGTGTGTGGAGTGAGGAGTGTGGAGTGTAAAGTGTGGAGTGTGCAGTGTGCAGTGTGCAGTGGGTAAAGTGTGGAGTGTGGCGTCTAGAGTGTGGAATGTGGAGTGTAAAGTGTAGAGTGTGGAGGGTAAAGTGTAAAGTGTGGAGTGCAAAGTGTGGAGTGTAAAATGTAAAGTGCAGAGTGTAGAGTGCAAAGCGTAGAGTGTAAAGTGTAGAGCGTAGAGTGTGAAGTGTAGAGTGTAAAGTGTAGAGCGCAGAGTGTGGAGTGTAAAGTGTGGAGTGTAAAGTGTGGAGTGAGGAGTGTAAAGTGTGGAGTGTAAAGTGTAGAGCGTGGAGTTTGGAGTGAGGAGTGTAAAGTTTAAAGCGTGGGGTGTGGAGTGTAAAGTGTGGAGTGTAGAATGTGGAGTGGAAAGTGTGGAGTGTGGGGTGTGGAGTGTGGAGTGTAAAGTGAGGAGTGTGGAGTGTGGAGTGTAAAGAGTGGAGTGTGGAGTGGAGTGGAAAGTGGAAAGTGTAGAGTGTGGAGTGTAAAGTAAGAAATGTGGAGTGTAAAGTGTGGAGTGAGGAGTGTGGAGTGTGTAAAGTGTAGAGTGTGGAGTGTAGAGTGTAAAGTGTAGACTGTAAAGTGTAGAGTGAGAATGTGTAGAGTGTGTGGGGTGGAGTGAGGAGTGTAAAGTGTAGAGTGTGGAGTGTAAAGTGTGGAGTGTGGAGTGAGGAGTGTAAAGTGTAGAGTGTGGAGTGTGGAGTGCAAAGTGTAAAGTGTGGAGTGTAAAGTGTAGAGTGTGGAGTGGAGTGAGGAGTCTAAAGTGTAAATTGGGGAGTGTGGAGTGTAAAGTGTAGAGCGTGGAGCTTCCCCCATAGACACGGCGACGCCACAGGAAAACCAGACACTCGAGACGAGACACGTGGGAGCAGCAAAACGAGCATTTCGTGCGAGACTTCTGCTAAGCTTGACACTTTCGTCACGTGATCAAGCAGGTTGGAATGTCACAAAGTGCCGCGCCTGCCACGCAAAACGACATGACAACCTGCTGGGAAACCTTCGAAAAGGACATGTTTTGCAGCTTCCCTCAAAGACACAGCGAAGCCACCAGAAAACCAGTGACTCGAGACAAGACACGTGGATGCACGAAAACCAGCATTTCGTACGAGACTTCCTCCAATTTTCACAGTTGGCAACATGACAAAAGGACAAGTTTTGCAGCTTCCCCCATGGACACGGCGAGGCCACAGGAAAACCAGAGACTCGAGACGAGACAGGTGGGAGCACCAAAACGAGCATTTCGTACGAGACTTCCTCCAAGTTTCACACTTTGTAGCTTCAAAATCGACGTTTTCCTACGAGTTTTCCTTAGAACCTGAAAATCTGAAACCTCAAAATCGATGTTTCGTGCGAGGCTTCCCTCCATTTTCAGCACATCGCACAAAATGCCACCTTGTCGCCACTTGACGCAGCCCTGCCAATGCGATTTGCAATAAACACGCAACACGACACGTCTAAAGTGCTGTGCCTGCCACGAAAAATGACGATGGACACGTCCAAAGTGCTGCGCCTGCCACGAAAAATGCAACACATCTTCTGAAAACGTCGCAAAAGTATTGCGCTTGCCACACAAAACGACTTTCGACACGTTACAAAACACGTCTGAATGTCACGAAGTGCCACGCCTGCCACGCGAAACGAAGCAACGAGACGTCTGAAACCTCCAAAAATGATCACCTCTGAAGAACTTACCATAGGCATGGCCATACGGTCCTCGCGCGGACGGTTGCGAACGGTTGCGACCACAAACGCAACGTCGAGCGAACACACCCTCAACCCCCAGACCCCCAGAGTGAAACGGGAACCCTTGCTACGCATTCGGGAAAAATCGCCCATCAACACATCGCTCCACGACCAACCATATCCACAATAAACATTTAATCCTCAGCCTGCAGTGCAACATAACTTGAATCCTTCCGTTTAAATTTGAAAACATTTTGAAAATCCAAAAACAAATCCAATACAATCAAGCACATACTAATGGCCAGCCGTCGCATTCTCGCCGCGGCACCGAAGTCGACGAGGAGCTAGACGACGAGCTCGTCGAGGAGCTCGTCGAGGAGCTGGACGAAGAGCGCAAAGCCGCCTGTAACCATTTAGCCCTCATTAAGACTTATCAACCTTTGAACGAGCATTGCAAAACACGCGCAAATAAACCGTTCAACCGCCAACAAAGCTTTTACTTTCGAAGATAACTGCTCAAACAATCCCTCTATCCATAACCTTCTGTTCTGGTAAATCCACTCGATACCCGACAAGACAAACGCACGTTGAATCCACAACCTTGCCCGGATCATTTTTCAAACAAGACATCGGATCTGCAAATCACGCGGTTTCCTTTTAAATCCAAAGAATCATGCCAACTTCCGGTGAAAACAATCTGACCAACCCCGGTGCCACACCACTTGCCTGCGGCGCGGAAGAAGAAGAAGCAGCCTGTCACAAATATGCACGCTTTCCCTTTAATGCACATGCTGCGTCATGTCTCTTCCTAAATCCACCCACCAATAATAAAATGACCAAGTCAGAAACGAACACGTCAAATGAACCCAATAGTGCATCTAAATTACACAATTTCATATAATCCTTTCAAAACCCCAAGTCCGCTACACCATGCTTTCATTGCCGCAACCAAGCAAATTTTTAATTGTTGACCTGCCTGGCGCTGCAACTTCCTCTTCTTCTGCGGAGGAGTCTGCGTGGCGGAAGGCACCACTTGTCCACAACATCCAAGGCAGAAAAAGAAATGATCTTGCACCAAAGCTAAATTCCCAGCCTCAGGAGGAGGGCTGGTTAGGTGAAACCAGGAACCGTCCGCGCGCATGACCCTGCTCCCCTGGTGCGGGGGAGGGGTCACGGCCGCGGGGCCCTTTGGTTTGCACCAACGGTTCTTGTTCCGCACATCCTGGCCGCATCAACCAGGTGGGACCAGGAGAGAATAGAATAGCGAAAACCCCGATTCAATGACAATGGAATAGAAATTTAAAATCATAGTAACGAAATGCCGTACGTATGTTCTCCAAATTGATACTTCATTCATGAAAACACAATCAATGCTCCCACCATTGACAAAAGCAGCCCACACACTTAAGCCCCTGTCCTGTGGCCACCTTTGTTGGTGACACTCCAGGCAGTAAAGCCACAAGGCTTGACCACCTGGAGTGCCCCGCCACTTCGTCCCTTGGTACTCCTGCGTTCGAGCAGGAACATGGCCAAAACATATACATCCACCAAGTCAAGCAACAGACTTGCATCGAACTGACTTCACAACCTAGTTCCCAAAGACCTTTCTGCCACCTCATCATATAATGCTACGATCGTTTCAATTAGAGTTAGATAACCTCTCGAAAATGAAGAACCCACTTGTCCTCCCACGTTGTCTGGAGTTCAAGCGGCAGCGTTGTGAGTTGGTGCATGCCACACGGGCAGTTGGGCGTTCCCCCCCCGCGACTCATGCTTCTTTGAGCAGTTTTGTCGCACTTGCACCGTCTTGAGGGGGAAAGAGCTGCGATACACGAATTCATATACGGGAAAAAAAATGATCCTCTCAAATCTGTTCCGCAGTTCTATCAACCTCAGCCTCCAATCTCCAACTGTTATACAAGCCATTTCTTTTCGTGCCTGGTAACCTGTTGTCTCATTACTACAGAACTTCCATCCTAGCTTTAAAGACATTCCTACCTGCTCATCTTCTCTGACCCCAAAAATTCCCCTAACATTTGCCACTCATTCAAAACCACATGATTTTAACCCGCGACCTCGATTCGTGGATTGATGGGCGATGGAGGTGTTCTGTTTGGAAGGAACGGTTGGGCGGATTTGGCGGGGGTTTACACTGTGTCAAGGAGGTCCTTGGAAGAACGGGGCGAAGTGATTCGAGATCATATGTGTCCTGTGTGCGAGGCATGTTTCGATGTATTGATGCGTGGGTGCAGGTTAGTCACCAAGAACGACCAGGTCCGCTGGTTCATATTGAGCACCCATGAAACTATCTCCCATTGGGAGATTCTCAACATTTGTGGCTGATTTCGAGGCTACATATGCTACCCTCTGGTAATTTCGCATAGCTACTGAAATGGGCCATTGAGTTCGTTGATGTACCTATTAAGTCAATGGTGATGTTCCAGTCCACTCTGATAGTTTACCAGGGATGATGTGATTTTGGTCCCCATTCCTTGGTGAATTATCATGTTAGATCCAGATCGGCTATTCATTGGCTAGATCACTATGTTTGATGATTCATAAGACTGCCGATAAAATCAACATAAATTGGCCAGTACCCACATCTTGTTAGATAGTGCTGTCCAACTATTGATAATTATATATATATATATATATGATTAAATCCCATTATCTGTCCCATTCACGTACATGAGTGTTGGTAATGCTGGCATTACCCTGTGATAAGGGAACTAGGTCGCGCCGCCCTTGGGCAACTGGTGTTTTTTGGCGCCTTTTGTTCGTTGCGCCTTGTGCTCTTTTGTTCTTGCGCCATTATCAACGAGCGTTGCAAGCTTTGGCTAATTGTTTGAGAAAGTGCAGTGGAACTTTCCCCCACAAGTTAGCTTAAGTTGTCCAAACATCAGTATGCATGTAAATATAAATACACATACATGTGATATATATATATATATATAAATATGTATATGCGTGCGTATATTATGTGCAAACATATATACAAGAAGATATGAACATTTGCATGTATACAATAGTGAAGCTAAATGTAAATGTATGCACAGATTTATATTTACATATTTATATATATGTGATTTTCATTGTGATTTTTTGTGTATGAATATATATATAATATATATATATAGCCCAGGCAACACCGAAGTTCACGAAGCATACATGACGCGAGCAAGTTCACAGGGACGTCAACATCCCCCACGCAAACAAGACTTAAGACAGAAAATGATGAAGGAACCTGAATACGAAGAACTCAACATTGAAAGACCCAACAATTATAACGACTTGAACAACAAGCATGAACAACTATGTTTTAGAGAATATAGACCGTTCAAATGTAGTGAACCTGGAAAAGTGGATGATGATGCATACCTTGCCTATGATAGACTTTTAGTTGAGATATTGACATGGTTAATACTGAAAAGAAAACATTTGTTGAAATTTGAAATCAAAAGTAGCATTCAACAAATATTTTTTAAACTCAATGATAAAGCAACTAATTCAAAGAAACGCTTATTAGTAGATAAAACAAGTTTAACAAAACCAGAACCTGAAGAAGAACCTGAAATTTAAACACACAAAAGCACAACAACATCAGCAAGACCACACCCCAACAATAACAGGTAATAAGATAATCAACAAGGTAAGGATGAACACTCTTGACTAAAAATGTCCTAAAATCACACCAGAAAAAAACATCAACAGCAAGGAAGAAATGTCGAACATGAACATACAACATAAAATGTCCTAAAATCCTCCTTTTACATTTTTCCCCCACCCCAAACCAAAAAAAATGGTTTTCGTGACCAGTTGCCTGAGGGCGGCGTTGGGAACTAACATAGCTATTTCAAATGACGATTTGTAGTTTGTTTACCCGAAGCTATCCCGTTGAATCATGGCCCCAGCTATCCATCTCAGCGGGATCTCCAGGTGACCGTTCAAGTCAGATAGGCCATTGACCTCTGGAACGCCGTTGTTCAAACGCACAATGAGGCCTCCGGCGCCAGGGCACTTGGGATGTGGCAACTCAAGAATGGTACCAATTTTGGGGGACTCAAGATTGGCGGAATGAATCAAAACTGGCTTATTTCAACAAGCATGTTGTGGGCTTAAGCAACGGGGTTTGGCGACTTGACCCAGAAGAATGGCAAGGTCGATCAGGAAAAGTTGGAGGGACGGTTTGACCAACAAACATGGATATTTGTGTATAACCATGATGAAAGATACCTGCATAAGTTGTGATATAACCCCTTATCATACTCCCAACTCAAATGTAAACCGCCCCCCCTCACCGGCTTTTCGTGGGACAATCGTCACGAAGTTTCGGGTGGTAACCAACCAGATCCCGTGGTTTTCACAAAGGAAGTGGCACCAACCCCCATCCTTGGTTGATTCGTGGGTAGAAAAACCAGCCTTTCTCCGGGATCAACTGGGATCACAGTCCAACTGCCCGTTCTTCACCAACCGTTGTATTTCATGGAAAGACTGGCAGGTTGGTTTTTGAAAAACGTATTGATTGGTTGACATATAGCTGTAACATCCATATAGACAAACAATGACTCCGTTCATTCACAGAGAACTCTACTTATGTTTCTATCTATATCAATATACTTCTGCAAACTTTGTGAACACTGGCTCCCCAAAGCCTTGTATACATATATAGGTGTGCATCTCTAGTCATATATTTCCACGCGTGAAATGCACTTCAAAATCACAGCAGAAAATCGATGCTGGAAAAGAAACCTCAATACTCAAGTGGCATACTATCGGATGGGATCCTGGTGTAGTTCTATGGCATTCTATGGCCTTCCATTGATCCTTGAAAGATTTTGTGTACCCTCCAGTGTCATCAAACTTGGCAGGCTTGGCTAGTCACCGCGTGATTTGGAAACTATGAGATCAGATTTGGAAACTGTGAACAGCGGATTCGGCAACTATGATGTGGAACCTATGACTATGATTTAGAAACTCAGAACAGAACGGCGGATTCGGAAACTATGATTCAGAAACTAAGGCACTTGATTTGGAAACTGTGTCGGAAACCAGAGTTGGAAACTATGAATGGGAAACTTTTGCAGGTAATTCGGCAACTGAAAAGAGCAACACGGACTTTCCAAACACGGACTTTGCACTCTGCCATGTCTTTTCAACAACAGAGATCTCTGCAGCGTAGCTAAAACACCAGAGATCTCTGCAGCGTAGCAACATATAACGTACAAAGTAGCAGGAACGTTAACATGCAAACCACCCCAACCCCACCCCTTCGTGTACACACCGTAGCAACAACAGCAGAGATCTCTGCAGCGTAGCAACAACACCAGAGATGTCTGCAGGGTAGCAACATATAACGTACAAAGTAGCAGGAACTTTAACATGCTCTTCCCCCCACCCCACCCCTTCGTGCACACACCGTAGCAACAACAGCAGAGATCTCTGCAGCGTAGCAATAACGCCAGACATCTCTGCAGCGTAGCAACAACACCAGAGATCTCTGCAGCGTAGCAACATATAACGTCCGAATTAGCAGGAACGTCAACATGACCCCCCCAACCCCACCCCTTCGTGCACATGACGTAGCAACAACACCAGAGATCTCTGCAGAGTAGCAACAACACCAGAGATGTCTGCAGCGTATAGCAACATGTAACGTACGAAGTAGCAGGCACGTTAACATGCCACACCCCATCCCTTCGTGCACACAACGTAGCAACAACACCAGAAATCTCTGCAGCGTAGCAACATTTAGATAACGTCCGAATTAGCAGGAGCGTTAACATGCCCCCCCCCACCCCACCCCATCATGACCTCCGAACGTGCGTGTACAAAAGCGTGCGTTTTACGCGCACGGTTGTCGGTCCGCTAGCGTGAAAATGCATGTATATGGCAGAGGGGGTGGCAATTTTGAAGTGCTACAATGTAAGTATATGAACGTGTGTGGCTCATGAGTTTAAATTCGTATTTTCTGAATCGCACGCAATAGTTTCCTAATCGTAGTTTCTGAATCGCGCGAAATAGTTTCCTAATCGTATAGTTTCTGAATGGCACGACACAGTTTCTGAATCGTAATTTTCTGAATCGCACGAAATAGTTTCCTAATCGCAGTTTCTGAATCGCACGGCATAGTTTCTGAATCGTAGTTTCTGAAAGGCACGTATCCTTTCCTAATCGTAGTTTCGGAATCGCGCGTAATAGTTTCGGAATCGTAGTTCCTGAATCGTAGTTTCTAAATCTCGTGTACTTTCTGAATCGGGCAATGATCGGCTTGGACATCCCCGAACTCAGTGGAGGTCTTGATTTAAAAAATCATCTGTGAGTTAGAAAATCCACTGCCATGTTTGATTACCAGAAGGTAATTGGTTAGGAAATAGACGTACAGCTTATCACTCCAGTCATATTGCTATAGACATTTCTATAGCCATAGCCAGTTTTTCTTCAAATATCGCCCATTTTTTCTAAGCTATCCCCATGTCCCACTATGTTTCACAGTGATATCCCTACTTTTTGAAGCCATGTTTTTTTGGTGATATCCCTGCAGGAGATCCCCCAGCAGTTCTTCGCTTCCAAGGGACCACCAGGTTTGTTGTCCTTCAAGATAGGCTTGCTGAACTCCATGAAGCGATTACGAGCTCCATGGGTGTGGGTGTAGGTCATGCAGCCTGCGATTTATCACCAGGGGTAAAGGCACAGGTCTGCGATTTCATGAGCTGCTTTCTTTACCAAGAAAAATGAAGGTTTTTTATAACCAACTTTTCCCGAGAGCGTCTGAGCGCAGGGTTCTTCCAATAGTGGGGGTCTGTATCTCATCTTCTCATCTTCACATCTTCTCACCTTCACATCTTCATCTCATCTTCTCATATTCACATCTTCTCATCTTCACATCATCTCATCTTCACATCTTCTCATCTTCACATCTTGATCGCATCTTCTCATCTTCACACCTTCTCATCCTCACATCTTCTCATCTTCACATCTTCTCATCTTCACATCTTCTCATCTTCACATCTTCTCATGATCTTCACATCTTCACATCCTCACAACTTCACACCTTCTCATCTTCAAATCTTCTCATATTTACATTTTCTTATCTTCACATCTTCACATATTCACATCTTCTCATCTTCACATCTGCTCATCTTCACATCTTCACATCTGCTCATCTTCACATCTTCTCATCCTCACATCTTCACATCTTCACATCCTCACATCTTCACATTTTCTCCTCTTGCCTTCTTGCCTCTTGCCCTCTTGCCCTCACATCTTCACATCTTCTCCTCTTGCCCACTCCTTCGCACGAAATGAGGTTCGATCTCCAAAAACTGCGGTAAAATTGCGATTTCAACTTGTCCGGCGCAACCCTTCCACACGAAAGGAGGTTCGATCGCCAAAAACTGCGGTAAGATTGCGATTTGCAAGTCGTCCCGCGCAACCCTTTTGCACGAAATGAGGTTCGATCGCCAGAAAATGAGGTAAAATTGCGATTTCAACTTGTCCGGCGCAACCCTTTCGCACGGTTCGATCGCAAAAAAATAGGGTAGGGTAAAATTGTGATGTCAAGTCGTCCCTCTTGTCCCGCGAACTCTTTCGCACGAAATGAAGTTCGATCGCCAAAAACTGAAGTAAAATTGCGATTTCAAGTTGTCCCGCGCAACCCTTTCGCACGACATGACGTTCGATCGCTGAAAACTGAGGTAAAATTGCGATTTCCCAGTTGTCCCGCGCAACCCTTTCGCACGAAATGAGGTTCGATCGTCAAAAACTGAAATAAAAATGCGATTTCAAGACGTCCCGCACAAACCCTTTCGCACGAAAGAAGGTTCGATCGCCAAAAACTGCGGTAAAATTGCGATTTCAACTTGTCCGGCGCAACCCTTCCGCACGAAAGGAGGTTCGATCGCCAAAAACTGCGGTAAAATTGTGATTTCAAGTCGTCCCTCTTGTCCCGCGAACCCTTTCGCACGGAATGAGGTTGCGTCTATGCGTAAAAGCGTCTGTGTAAAACTGTCTGTGTTGAAAAGCGCCTGTGTGTAAAAGTGTCTGTGTGTAAAAGTGTCTGTGTAAAAGTGACGCTTCTGTGTGTAAAAGCTTCTGTGTATAAAAGCGTCTGTGTAAAAGCTTCTGTGTGTAAAACCGTCTGTGTGTGAAAGCGTCTGTGGGGTAAAAGCGTCTGTGTGTAAAAGTGTTTGTGTAAAAGCGTCTGTGTGTAAAAGCGTCTGTGTGTACAAGCATCTGTGTGTAAAAGCGTCTGTGTGTGTGTGAAAGTGCCTGTATGTAAAAGCTTCTGTGTGTGAAAGCTTTTGTGTGTAAAAGCGTCTGTGTGTAAAAGCTTCTGTGTGTAAAAGTGTTTGCGATGCAAGCTATTGTCTTGTACTTGTGCTATTATATTGTCTTGATACTCCTCTTCTCGTATGCCTATAACACATCTTTAATATATTGTTTTGTAATATGGCGTCTCCATACTAACAAGAGAAGACCCTGCTCCTCTACGCTCTCGGGCCATCCGTCGTCTAGTTTAAAATACTTTTTGAAGTTGATTTAATGGGATATATATATATATATAATTATATATATATGTGTGTTGGAGGGATGCTATTGGGATATTTGTTTTTTTTTCCGGTTTTTCAAGGTTGATATAATGGGAATATATATATTGGAGGAATGCTGTTGGGATATGGGATAATTGTGTGCTGTCGTAATTTTAAATCAACTAGATTGAACCCAGCAAAAAATCCATGTGCTTGGGAAAAATCATGTTTTGGTGTTTTGGGTATTTCCCACATTGGTAAATGGAGGATGTTTTATTACACCCCTAGCCGCGGTTGAAAAGAATGAGCTGCCAGTGAAAATGGGAGAAAATCCATCGACCATCGGGATTGATTTTAGAGCACTACCACATGAAATATCTTGTAATTAGGTGGAATAATGTGTGGTAGTGCTCTAAAATCATGTGTGGATAGTATGAGATAGTGACCCAGATGGTATTAGGTGACTATCTCTATCACTATCTCATACTAGAGCACTATCTCTGAGTAATTAGGTGGAATAATGTATGAGATAGTCACCCAGAATGATTATTCCATTTGTCGGATGGAACATGTAGAAAATCACCACCAACCAAATGAAACCTCCCGATCATTCCTTTCAGTTCTTACAATTTCTTACAACATCATACCATATCTAACCCCTAGAAAATCCAATGTTTCCCGAGACTTGTAATCAAATATGCCCACAAAATGTTTAAAAACATATGGACCCCTTCCCAGTCACACGCCAAGCCCAGGGCGGCCGAGGGACCATGAGCAACTCCAGCCTTGAGACCATTTCCGATCATGCCGTCGCCCCAGCATTCTGACCAGCGCATCTCCTTAGAGCAGACGGACCATCACATGGTCCAACATGTTTTTTTGGTTTGTCCATGCTTGTCCTTTCAGGTTCACCCTAAAATGGTTAGTTTATCCTGGTTTCATAGTTGTTTCTTATTTTTGTGGTTGATTATGAGTTATTCATGATTTATTTATATATTTGTTTCATGGTTTGTGATGGTTTGTGTATATTTGCTGGTTGATTTATGCCTGTTTTCTCATGTTCTATCGTTTTCGTGGCTGTTTTGATTCCCCTGAGACGGCCGCCAAGGCTCCACCACGGTCATGCTGATGTTGCAGACAGTCTCCAGTCCCATGGCGATGTCTTTGCCGATGCCTTCGACCTGGACCATGGATGATTGAAGGAGAACAAAATCATGGGATTTACTGGGAATTTACTGGGAATTACTGGGAAAATCCTATTCTGAGGTACGGCAATCCCTATTATGATAGGGAACTTAGAAGAATTCCATGGGAATTGTTCATATCATTTCATGGGATGAATCGTTGCGTTTTACTGCTTATTTGTGTCCCATATTGGATGATAATCCAATATAATCACGATGAGAGCAGTTTTTGTCTGCATGGATCAGGTGGGATAAACAAGTTTGAAAGCGGGTGACAGTACCCTGAGGCAAACTAACATAGACATGGTTTTCATTCATGGTTACACAAGGAAACGATCAACTTTAATTGTAAATTGTCCACATCTATGTTAGTTTACAGGAGGGTAATCCCACCATAGCTCACTGTCGATGCACAGTTCCTCCATCGCCCAGCGCGTGGTGTGCACTTTCGATGTCACATCGGTCCCATGTCAGGTCAGGTTTCGATGCTTGGTGTGCTTGAGTTCTGCCTCCATCGATTTCACTTTGATTTGTCAAGCTGCTGAATTCAATTGCTGCCGCTGCGTCAAGCACCTATGTGCCTCATGGGAAAAACAGATTGGTATTCGCATCCCTATGGGAGGATGACCATCCCCTTCAAAAAAGTTGTTCTTCGTACTGCCGTAGCCCAATGCTTTGACCAAGGCACATATGATCCAAGGTCCAAGGTCTACCCAGAAAAAAAGTCGCCAATGGATCTGAAATCAGCCACGATTGCTGTGGATCATTAAGATAGGCCCATTGACAGATGGCTGACTGATGGTCTTGTTATCTTTAGGATCTGAGCCATCGTCACCTTTTTGTGTTCTGCGGCTACGTGAATTTGAAGCCATGCCCATGCCGTGTCTAATATATCGCTAAAACCAACAACAACCGAGGCTTGGTTCTCATCTTGGATCATAGCTTGAGATAGCAGGGGATGGGCACCATCCTCACATCTATGTTTTAAAAAAATGGGGATGAGTCAAAACCGATTAGTACCATAGGGGGAGTCACATCCATTCACCAGCTATGACTGGATGGGTACCACCAGCTGTGATCAAGCCCATGGCCTCGAAGTCAGACTCAGGAGGGGTTCCCATGTAGGCATAGTTGGGCCAGTCGATGTCCTGATTTTTTCACTAGCATTACACACGAAAAGACTGTGGATGGTTGTGAAATCCTGCACCCTGAAAAGGGTGGTTGAAACCCTGTAAATAATGGGACGTTTGCCATTTATCAACTGGTGCAGGATTTCTTCCATCCACAGTATCATGTAGTATCACTACTATGGGTCTGTCTGAAAACGAGCTGTACCCATGTGATCTCATGTTCATGGCTTTTTGAGAGTGAACATGATCATTACGCAATGGATGTAGATGTATACCCTATTTTCGGACAAAGCCATATCTGTGGCAGGAAAGGGATTCTAAACGACCAAATGCCGATCGGAACAAGAGGGCAACATGCTAAACGGAATGCACATCCAAGACACACAGATGCAGCCGACCCACACCGGGATGTAATATCATGTTGAAAACTTGGATGCGCACTTCAGTTGGTAAGTTGTTTTTAACCTATAATGTATATATATATATATACATAACTGGAAATTCGGAATATTGTATATATATATATAATAATAAAACTAATGCTGGGGCAAAAAAAGTTACTATATATATATATATTACTATCCCCTTACTAAGTGGGATGCGCCCCTAAGTGGGGATCATCTTCACCCTGATGTCTAGTTAGTAAACGGTTTTTTGACCTATAATATATATATATATATATGTATTATTTAGTTTTTAACTGGGAATTCGGAAAAATAAATAACTAATATAATAAAAAAAATACTGGGGTATAATATGGTTACTATCCACTTACTAAGTGGGATGCACCCCGTGGGGATTATCTTCACCCTGTCTGTTGGGCAAGCCCCAATTTCACCTACCACCTCTTTAGGATTCCTGTCCTACACTTAGTAACCACTGAGCGTAAGTGAGATCGCGAGATCGCAATCTCACCTGGTTTTATCTAAACGATCAACACTCAATAAACACCTTCAAATTGCTGACTTCTCCCAAGGGAAAGTCTGCTATTTTCCAGCCGACCATGCTGGTTTTCCACACCCCTCTCCTGGCCCAAGATGATCTTGGGGTACATCTTGCCTCCCATGACCTCAGGATTACCATCTCATGTTAGGTCGACCAATTTTTACACCAGTTTGTCGACTACTCATGGTATTCCTCCAAATTCCTAAGGGTTTTTCACCCTAAACTCACTAGTTGATCACCATTGTCCCCGAATGACATGGCTGTACTTGAGGGTATGCAGACTAATCGACTAACATGTTGAATTATGTTCAACATCGGCAGATGGCTTTCCCGACTTGGATCCTGGCGTAAGGAATCGTAAAGGAGTGTTGGAGGTGAGGGAGTGCAGGAAACTGTTTGGAAGATGTTGGAATGTTGAAACCCTCTTGTCTTGTTTATCCAATTTCGAGTAATGTCAAACCACAATTTGGTGAAGATAGGGGTTTCAAGTGAAAACGACTAGGTTCGTGTTGTTGGTAAACTCCACAAATCTGTGGTTCTACCATTCATTCCTTGTGTAACCTTCCCGTAAGTTGATCCAGATCAGGTAAACTCATGTCCTACCCTCTGGTAATTTAAGCCAGCTATGATATAGATGGCCCATTGAGTTCGCTGATTTACCAATGAAACATGGTGATTTTCTAGAGCAATGTTAAATTGCCAGAGGGTACCATATGTTCCATGTATGCTGTATATTTCAAACGTATACCTCACAACCTGGCCTAGCTATGTTACCACCAGTAATTGCATCATGGTTCTCTTGGACAGCTCCAGGTCGAACCATTTTTTGTTTACTGTAACTATATGCCATGTACATCTCTACCATAACTTCATTTACAGATGTTTTTTTAAGTATCACATCCAAGTTGGTTGTATATGCTTATATCATGTCAAAGGATCAAACATCCCACGATATTCCATGTCTATCCCCACTATATATCCACAATTGGAAGTTTCTTAAGCCATGGGGGATCCCCAAGTCACAGGTCTCAATACTAAGTCATCGTCTATAACTTGGATGATTTGGGGTACCCACATGACTTAGGCAACCTCCATATATGTTCAGCCTCTATCATAAGCATAAACATTGCATATTCAGGGTGATTCACTTTAGGAAACCTCTATATATTTAATCACCGTTATTAATCACTATAATCCCCCATTGACATTTTTCCATATATGATTGATCTTGCAGCACAACGATTCATCTTCCATATAAGTCTTTTCCCCCCACATATATTGTTATTGGTATATAGCCACACGATATCCCATAGATCTGTTCCACGATACAAAAACCCCGAATGGTCGATGATTTTCTCCGAAGCACTCCAGGAATCAGTGGTTCCTTTGGTCCGCAGCTTTCTGCTGCCTGACCTGGCGCCGCTGTACCCAAGTCTTTGCATGATGAGATACAATAACATACTAATCATTGAAAAATAGTTGTGATCACAATAGTAATAATATGTAATAAAATGTAATAATATGTACTAATATGTACTAATCTGTAATAATATGTACTAATCTGTAATAATATGCAATAATATGTAATAATATGTAATAATATGTGACAATATGAAATAAAAAGGAAATAAAAAGGAATAGCACGTAATAATATGTAATCAAATGTAATAATATGTTCAAACACGTAATACTATGTTCAAACATGTAATAATATGTAACAACATCAATACACATACATAAACATCATGTCATTATGTCATTCTAGATTATTCTGACGGTATTACTTCATGATATGTTGATTTCTTCTGACTGCATCCACTTCATGTCCTCCCATCGACCTAAGACGACCTAAGTCGCCCCACCCTGAGAGATCAAAGATGCAAAACCAAGAGCAAGACCTTGGTTCAGCAGAAAAAATGGGGCTATAAATTGGCGGGAACGTCATGGAATATCTCATGAGTGCTTTTTCTTAACATGTTAAAACATACTAAAGCCAAGCTTTTGGATGCTCTTGCCAGATGATTCGTGTAAACAACGAACCATTTTTGAAGGGTATCTCAGATTATTCGTGTATACCAACTATACACCCAGCGTGTGTTTGTGAACAGAGATCATGCACTTACTTCGCCAAGGCAAATAATTTTGTGGCTATCCCGAACTGATTGCGGTTCTCTGTCATCGCGCAATTGGAGTCTATTTGAATGGGAATAGAATATCCAAGTTCGTCCCAGTTTCAACCCAATCCCAATTGAGCTGTGTCAAAAGCCCATGGGTTGAAGTTTATTGTTTAAGAAAAGGGTTTACCATGGTTTACTACAGAAACCTCTTGACAAGGGGATCAGCCAACAATCCGGCCAATTGGAATAGCAAGCAGTTCACAAACATTTCGCACAACCAGGTCCCAACCAGTGTCAAAATTATTTAAAAAGATCCTACGACCTCCATTGCCCATGCAGAAGCATGGACTGGATGACTTGAGTGACTTGGAAGTTGTCCCAACTTATGGACATACCCAGGAAATCTCCCAGAAAGGCCCAAAAAAAAATCATACAAGATCCGAACGGTTTGGGTGTATGGCTTGGCTGAAATCATCTCAAACTCAACCTCAACTCCGTGGGATAACCCTCCATCGAGCCACGAACGGCCATGGCGACGTCAGAAAGTTGACTCGGGCTCTCTGGTTAGCATTAAGATCTTGAAAACAATGCTGACATGTATACGTTATACATCCTGACACGTATTCTGACATTATGACATGTGTCCGGACAAATCTGACCTGGCAGCTTTGGCGCTTGAGCTTGCTGTAAATACTGCCCAGGCTGGAATAGGGTGATTTACCTGACCTAACCTGGCAGGAAATCCATGGAAATCCCTGTTTAGTTTGGCAAATAGAGGTAAACCAATAAAATACCAAAGCGGAATCAAGGAGAAATTATGATCCATTGGTTGGATTTCTGCCGGGAACCGATCCCTCTTTTCATCTCAAGAGTCCCAGTCAGGCTCTACATGCTCTACGGTCCCGACCAATTGAATACCAGACAGGGGTGAAATCCAACATTGCCAATAAGGAGCTTTACTTGAGGCGCTCGCAACATGATCTCAAACAATCCACTTTGGAAAAAAGTAATGTTCAGCCATATCCAGTCACTGTCATATCAATGCCATATCCACATGTTTGACTGATGGTAAAAGGATGTGCAGCCCCACAAGACCACAGTGTAGAAAACTTCTATTGGTTGATGGTTACATACAATCCATGATGGGAAATCCTCGACAGTGGCTTTTAAACACTGCTCACAGCCTCGAAACCTGGATCCCTTATCATGCCGAGGTCCTTTTTCTGATCGGTCTGATCTGCAGAAACCAGGCTTCGACAACTCTTCCCGCTGCTCGGCGGGGAGCTCAGCAGTTCCAACTCGTGCGGTCGGTGCGATTGGTCACATAGGTCAACAGAAAAACAACATGTTGCTTGTCATTTGTCGTCTCATGTATAGATAATTCCCAGATTGACACGGAAAATGCGAGAAAAGAAGCAAACCCTTTTTTTGGATCCAAGTAAGTATACTTTCTTGGGAAGTATTGAAAATATATTTATTGGGATATTAAGTAATTACCTTCCAAGGAATTGTTTGGATTCATAGGGAAGTACTTCAAACTGCCACTTGAGTTTTGTGTTCTCATTGTTCTGTATTTGTGCCTTGGTTCTTTGGTGGACATTGCCACGAGTCATCGAACGGTTGCTCGGAATATCCGAGCAATTCCGAGCATATGTCAGCCATAAGCATGTCAAATCAAGGTGACAATTAAACATTCAAAATCTACATAGACTGTCCCTACCTATCTGTTAAATTCTGAAATGATAGAACACTTCGGCCAGGAATAGCCAGGAAAATCCGTGAGACTCCAGGTTTTTTGTGGTAAGAAACATCGCCAATGTGTCGACCTGCAGCTTCCCCGAAATCAGCACCAATTGCACTCGTTCTCACTTGAAAGGACCCTGCACGGCGGTTCGGATGGCAGGCATGACAAAGCATGGCTGCCACAGGGACTCTCCGTACAACCTGCCTGACACATAGTATTTGCATCTTGGCTGGATCTGAATGGGTTGACTTCTAATGGCCGTTGATCATTTACGTCCCACAGTCGTGTATCCGACACCACTGTAGCAAGGTTGCATGGTTCGCAGGTGTGCAACGTCCAATTTCTCTCCTAGGGAGAGACGCTCGACGTGAAGACGCAAGTTGCCCCTTTTTTTGGCGGCGATGGGTGGTATCCGGCACCAAATCAAATTACTATTGATTGGGGTTGGACGTGCCCAATCCCAATCAACTACAATCATCAGTGATCATCAAATCATCAACTCATCAACGACAATTCTCCATATACTCTCCATAAATTATGACTTATCAAATGGTTCCCACGGTGGAATGGTCATCTCAGGGACAGTTTCTGCAGGTCATTTGACTCTGCTACCACCATCGCACGGCACGAGCTCATCATGGTGGCCACCAGGTCTGGCGGTCCCGTGACAGGCGTTCAAACCTCGGATGCTTTGGCATGGAGGGAGACATTTTCGAAAGATTGGGATCAACATAATCTGGGTAAATTAAAATATTTCACTAGTCACTAACCTGAAAGAAGGCTGTTTGGGGACGATTCCCCTTACTAACCATGATTCCAGTGAGGTCGTAGTGAGATCGCTATAATTTACCCAGACACAATGGAACATATGGTTCCAATGGAGGGACACATTTACGACATGTTCCCCAGAAAGATATTGGGATCAAAATTATACAGCGTGCAAACAGCAATAAGAACAGAAGTGAAAAACTCAAAAAATGCTGTGTCCTTGAGCCTTCGTGCAATTCTTTGGGTTTTGTCCCAACATGGCGAAAATTTTCCACCATGATGATTTGCCATCAATTTTTACGGTTTTACAATGTTTTTCTCCAACATGTCCAAACCCGAAAATGGAAGGACGAAGCAGAACCGCTCTGGATCGAGTCACTTAAACTACCGGGCAAGGACAATAGCCATCCTGGGCTGCGGCGGCATCAATGAGTTTCATCATTTGTGCTGCTGGCACAATAATTACTATATGGATTTGCTTGTAGAATTCACACTATTTGATGATAAGTTTCTACCAATTGGAAAACTGAGCTTTTTCAACAGTATTAATGATTAATGCGGCCTTTTCCAGGAGTTCAGAACTTTGGGCCGCATTGATCCATATCCAAAACGCAATGATAAACATAAAAATGACAAACACATTCAGCAACCATCAGTTCTTCATTCTATGTCATGACATGGGTCATTAAAAGTAGCTCGATCGAAGCGACGCTTGATCGAAGCTCTACCGTCTCTCATCTGTGATTCAACATGCTTATCAAATGGTTCAGGACGTAACAAATCATGCCATTCCGCCTTTATATTGGTTGATTAATCATTAATCAGGAACCTCACACTGGGTCAGTTCACAATATCCATAAACATTCAGTAAAGCAGGTAGTACAGGAGTATATATATATACATAGTATTTACTATACCCCGTACAATAACCAATCAACAGGCGTTTTGGTCACTAGTAACGCTGCTTGATGATCTACATACTATGGAAAACAGCATGGCACAACATATTGTGATATGCCAGGTTGCTCAAGCTGGGTACCAAACAAGTCTTACCGATGCCCATAGTCAGAACACTTATGTGGGACTATGTGGGTGCAGGCAATGAAATCGGGGGCATGCCGGCCTGCAAGTTCCGGTCCTGTTCAAAACAAAACGATCCAGTTGGTTTAGGTATCAGAGTGTTGATCAAGAATTTATTGCACTTACCATCTGACCAAAGGGGGTCCTGATTCGTTTCCCCTAAAACCTATTCCAGGAATCAGGAACAACTGCTGCACACTTAAAGTCTCAGCACTGGCTTACGTTTGTTTCTAGTTTTTCTTTAGATGCCCAGCATGACTTACTGATACACGTTCACCTCCCTAGGCTTCCTAGTTACCAGTATAATAGGTAACCAGGCCTCAGTTCCTGAAACCGTTGGAACTACAGTTGTGGCGAGGAACCAGAATCCCCACTTGCGGTTCCTATCACGGTTCCTGTAGATAGCACGCAGTGAGATGTTCAATGGCCATTACTTCCCGTACAGTTTTTCAATATTTTAAATGGTTCTTGTGATTTTCCTCATGTTTTGATACATGCCCTGCCTGCAAAACTTCCTCCAATATTCTATTTGGCTTGTCGACTAGGTGACGCGGGACGGTTCAGCATGATATTTGATGGGTTAAAGCTGCCACCGGATCAGACATATTTTGACTTAAGTTTGACATTCTATTTGAATCCACGTTTGCTTCGACGCGTACTGTACATCTACGTAAAGAAGGGTGTTGGAATCCTCTAGATTTCAGCAAATAGTCGGAAAACTCCAAAAACCGTTTCTAGTTTCTGTGTCGGTCCTTTGCAATTTCCCCCTTTTTGCATAACGGCACACGTAAAAATATCTTGCGGATGATGTTGCGTTCAGGGTTTGAAAAAGGATTCCTCCTTTCCCCGATATGTACGGGCATAGATGTCAGAAAGTTTGCTGGGGTATGGAGGATTTTGCAATCAAGAGAACTGTTAAGCGAAGATAGCGCCAAAACAAAACGATATAAAGAACAAATAGATAAATTGTCACATGTGACACAATGAACATTCTCAGGTCCAAGTAAAACTTAGACATGCCAGCGACTATCATATTTCTATTGACATTGTTGACACAGCCACATTAAAAAGTTCTTGCAGGTAGCACACGCGAAAGCAATACGCTCCCGCATCCTTTCGCAGCGATGTCCGGCAATAAGCCTTTAATTGACACGCCACGGTAATTGCTTTGCAACAAGTTCCTTTTTGAGGGCAAGGTGGATGACAACTCTGGCATGTTGAGACCTGAAAAAATCTTTTGGGGGTTACAGTAGCTTATTTATATTTGAGACCGTGTGCTCTGTTTTTTTTGGAGGTAGGTTACATGTGACCAACATACAACGCGATTGTTCTGTTTCACTTCTTGAAGGGTTCATCAGTCATAACACAGCAAGACTAAGAACCTGATAGACAAATACAAGGATAGCGGCCAAAGCTACAATTTGCTCTTGCACCCCCACTTATTTTCAAACAAGTTATTTGTCAAAAGATGTCCATGATGGCTTCAGGTTTGAAGGTCATGAAACTTTTTTTTGCTTGCACATGGACATAATTGCATATCTTCGTGATTTTGGACCAGTAACCCCCAAAAAACCGCGGTGACACCCAACATAGACTAGCGATTGAATGAAATTTGCATGCGCAAGCACATGTGCCAGCAACATTGTTCTGCAAAAAAAATATCACGAGTTCATGCGGCATTAACCTTCACTCTGTCACATTTTGGACTGAAACAAATCGAAAGATATCGAAAGATATCGAAAGTACGTAGGCAACATGTCATCTCACGGTTCCTGCCCCTTTCCTCATGGTTCCGGCCCCTTTCCTCACGGTTCCGGCTCTTTCCTCACGGTTCACTCACGTTTCCCCCCTCGGTAAGCGCGTTGTGATATTTTCTTACTCAAACCGATTCCAACGCCTCGCAAAGCCAAGTTTGCATTTTACTTGTTCAAGAGTTTTTTGTTTTCGTTGGCATGCATTTGTGTTCCTGCATACCAGCTCTTGGTTGCGCTTTGCGTGCCCAAATGCTTGTGGGCGTGAGTAATGCAGTTGCAAGATCATTATTATTATCTTTTTTGTTATTATTTGTGCCTTTTTTGTTTTTAAGGGTTGCCTCCGCCGCTGTGTTCTCAATAGTCTTCTATATTTTTAAATGTCGCAGTGGTAGAATTGCGTAGTAAGTTACATCGCCTTTCTATGCATTTTTTTCTGCACTATGTAGCCACAGCGATTAAAGGCTCAATATTCATGTGGCCCATTCAGAACAACAGTGTTCAGCTAACATGGTTGCTACTGTTGTGCTGGCGGTTTTCGAACGGTTTGCTTTTGCTGCTGAAAATCTCTCAGCCATGAAGCAAACCATACAAATCATTGCCAAACAATATTGAAACGTAGACAACCGCCGGGTGCATGCAAAAAGAGATCACGATACATTGTTCAAAATCCTGCCATGTATGGCGTCAGACTGCGATAAACATCTGTACGTGTGCATTCCAGCGAGGCTGCTCATGCCTCATTACCCACGATTACTTTATTGTTTCGACATGCCCGTTTTGAAGTGATTTACTTTTGACCTCCTCTTTTCCCCAACGCACACATGATGACACATGGATGCTATCTTTTCGCAGAACAGCCACGCCGCACAACAGCTGAGAAACTTAATGTTTGGTTGCCTGCTACGGGAAGGTATCCTTGCTACGGGAAAGTAATTTGTGGATTCATGAACGCGTTTGTGCCCCATTTACCGTCTAAGACTAAGAGATTGTAGAAGCTTTGTGTTATCAGGATCTATTTGGTTTGCTGTCAAGGGCATGAGAAACCACCTTTGCCAACGTATGCCGTGCTGACTGCAAGTCAAACATGACTCTTTTAAAGCCTTGCGAAAAAAAGAGGAACAATTATGCTACAAAGCGGTCGGTCAGAATGGAGCTTCATTTTCCACCAGGCAGCATGGTTTTTGCAGCGTAAACTTGTGAGTGTGACTAACGAGCTTACAACTATATATAAGGTAGCCAAAAATCGCAAGCTCTTGTATTCTTAGACAAAGCGATCAACGAATGACACAGGAAATGCCCTCAAACACTCTTAGTATTTACACATGTACACACATCATTGATGCTTGGCTAGAGTAGGGGCATCCTTTTGACAAGGAAGCGTATGTTTGAAAGATACATGGACCAAGAAGCGCAGTGCATTTCATGTCCCTTGATTCTTGGGAAGGCTAGTAGAAGGTGTTTAAGGTTGATTCTGGGGCTGGTTCCTGGAACCAATCTTGGTTACCTGAAATGCTGGTAACCAGCCTGGTTCCGGATATACAGGTAAAATGGAGGACTAGGGCCTTGTAAACCTAAGCATACCTAAGCATTCAAACTTAACCAAAGGTAAATGGACCAGGTTCAAGACGTGTACAATGTGTACAGTAACCCATTTCAGGGCGGAAACAATGACATTTGCTCACGATCGAACATCCATTCAACATCTCTTGGGATCCATTTCGCCTCCACTGGTCTTCCAAAGTATTCATGCTAAAACTAGATCTCTATACTAAAGTGGATAATTATACGGTTATACTTAAGTATTAAGTCGCATCTGAGTCACACCTGACTAAAAGTGCATCATGAATGGTAAGAATATTAATTATATATCTTATGAATTCAATGAATTCAACATTCATTCCATTTACATTCCATTTACATTCCACATCAATTAACCCGTTTTATCCCAACGGGCTATGGCTTCCAAGGCTCGGCGCAGGTCGAGGTCAAGGTATCCGTGGCCTTCTCCCAGATGGGCGTTGCCTCGGTGGCGCCTCCTGGGAAGTGCTCGTTCGGGAAGCAGGATTCGGTCTCGGTGCGGCAGGAGGGGACGTTGGATTTTTTTTAACAAAAAAAAGGGAGTGGAAATAGAGCGGAACATGATTTTGTTGAGGCTTCAGAAACAAATTGGAGAGCTCAAAAGATGGTCAGATGTCCGGAACAAGTTCAATTCTTTTTGTCAAGTGCTTTTAAGAACAAAACTTGGAAGTCTTTCAAAGGGCGAAACTCCATGGGTTGAAATTTTCTTTCAGCTGATCCGGGGGCCACCGACCATACCAAATATGGCCAATCTTGGGCACCCTACAAGACTTTTTTTTTGGGCTGGTTGGGTTACTGTATCTGTAGCAAAAAAACACTGGTAGGAGCACTAGTCAGCTGGTAGTCACTGCTAGCCAGTATCCATGACCAGCCGGTGCACCCATAGATACCCATAGTATTCCTATGATTCACTTCCCATTTCTTTGCTATACGAAAAGAGCATCAGCAAAACCCATCCTATAGTCACTATCCACTACCATCCAAAATCGAAGCACAATCCAGCTCCTCACGGTTTTTCTGAGACTCACCTTCGAACATGGGGATCCCATCTTGGCCCATGGCTATGCCGAGATACAAAGCTGTGCTTCACGCAAGCGTCATAGTAGGCCTTGGTCTCCAGGAATTTGTCAATGCAAGGGTCCAGAATCTTGGCCAAACCGGAGCCTCGGCGGCCGAAAGGTACACCCTGATGCAAATGTCGTGTTAGTACGTTGATCTTCGTGCGAAATCCAAGGGATATTATTCAGCAACAAGACATATTCATATTCATGGGATGTTAATGAATATTAACGGTATATGGAATATATTTCTTGATACTAGATGGGATACGAAACGGATATTGATAATGAGGATATGCAATCGGAATGGATTGTGAGGTGTGGTTTTCTTTGACAAATTGATGCCGGAACCCATGGGCAGGGTCCAACCACTTGATCAGTGGGGGTATCAACCCAAGATTGGGGGTGATATAACATATAACGAGCAAAGATGGATATATCACCAGCCAATAGGGGTCAAACATCATTGGACATGCACTTAATAAATAAATCATAGGTTACTAACATGAGTGGGAAATGTGATATGTATATGAATAACTATATATGCACGTATATGTATACAACAGGAAATACCCAACAACACAATATAGCAACATGATCAGTTCTGAAAATAGTGGCAGTGTAACGAACAATGTAAGGATATTTTGTCGGGTTCAAGAGGATATCAATGGGGATATAAATATGTATGTATGTATGCATGCATGCATGTGTGCATGTGCATGTACGTGTATGAATACATATATATATATATATGTATATATATGTATATATGTATACATATATATGTATATATATATATGTATATATATATATGTATGGATGTGTTGGGGAATCATCATCCCAGGTAAGTTGTGAGTAGCAAAACATATTCAAACTCACCAAATGACAATGATTTTCAGTGAAGAACAATCTCCAAACAGATTGACACATGTCAGGCCAAATAACACACTCACAAAACAACACTTCTGGTTAAATATGAAACTGGCTGGTGGAATGATTCCGGCCATCCATCATTTTTCATTCATAGTTTTGTCATACTTGGGCCGGGATCATCCAATTTTTAGGCACGGAGAAATGGACAAAATGATTGAAACCACAAGCCAGGGTCTTAGTGAGAGTCTTTTTGGGGGGATGGGGGCGAAAAGTTGACGATACCATGTGTTTTCTTCCAAGTTAATCTCGTGTTTTTGGCCACATCTCTCAAACCCTCAGGAAGGTTCCTTTTGATCCATGCTCAATCCAAACAGCAACCAGGATTCAAACCAAAATGCGATGCTATACTGCAATCATTGTTCAACATCAAAATTGTAAAGTTTGGGGTACATATCAAATTTCCGGACAAATAGTCCTGCTTTTAATCACCCCAATGATCCCGATAAACAATATTCCGATCTATACTGTTGGTAAACAAAAAACAAATATATATATATATATATATGTATTTTAAAAAAAAGTAAATGATGAAATATATGTGAATATACATATATATATATATGTATATATACGTAATATATATATATATACGTATACGTGTATATATATACATATATATATATATATAAAAATTTGCAGTAAACAGTATCATTGCACATGTGAGGCTGCCAGCTTGCATTGGCAGAAGCACATGTACCAACGTCTGTATCCTTGCTGCCTATATTGAGCAGCTCCTGTTTGTGTTTTGCGACCCCCAAAAAAAGGGCCACGTTCCGGACCCAGAAATGGGTCGCAATTCAGTTGGAAGCCCAGCTTACAAATTCGTGGCTCCTGTTTTGGGCCGATGGTCTGGGCAGCTGCCTTTCCGTAAAGCGCGCGTTGAACTGCGACAATGAACGTCGTTCATCAATGGTTTTTGTGCGCTTGGTTGCCAAGATGCTGGTTTCACAGTATATATGTTTGACAAATCTTATAATTGCCTCAATCTCTTTTACTTTGGCACAAAAAAAAGCGCAAGAGTGTCCAAAGAAAACACACAGATGAAGGTCTCAAGACCTGCCAAGGGGCCCTTCTTGGACAAGGCCAGGGTGGTTCCAGCCTTGGCGTGGCCGAACAGGCCAGTCTGGATGTAGGCGAAGGTAGTCCCCCAGCCACTCCACAGGGTGCACCAGCTGTCCTGGGTTGAAAACGGGACTGGGAAACTGGGGCCCCAAACAAACTGGTTTTAGGGAACACATGGGGATATCATGGAGATATCATAGGGATATCCCTAAAACTTCCATTATATCACCGATCTTGTTGACGATCCCATTGAAGACACTTTTTTGGTCAGAGTTTGATCACTGAAAGTGCCAGTGATGAAACTGAACAGAACCCCAGAACTCCTTCTGCTGTTGGGTTGCAAGACTGGATAGTTCTATCTTTTGGTGATTGGGCCATGATTGCATACCCCATCCCCTCCCTTGGTTGATGTCATCATCTTCCCCAATAAAACTGCACTTTTATTGAGCCATACTCTATTTCTTGTTGGTTGTACATACAAAATTTGCATATACATAATTTATATATATATATACAAATTTACACTGATAATGATAGTTTCACTACCTTTGGGGTAGATCCGTATTCCCAAATCAAACAACATTTGATGCTACCAACAAGAAGGCGGGGAACTTCGAGATCATCCGCGAGGTTGACAACTTGATGGACAGTGGTTGAGGTAACTCTTGGCAAATTCTCACTCATGAATCATACAAAGTGGTGCCTGCGAGTTATAACTCATGTTATAAGTATGGTTAAGTTGATTTATAAAAGGGGTTAACCTATGTTATAACTATACGTAACTGATGTTAGAGATATATCTTAGTTATGAAGATATAACATAGTTTAAGTAACTTAAGTGGAAAACTTAAAAATAAGATATGGGGAAGTTAGCGAACTTAGGTTTTGCGAGGTTTTTTTTTGAATGTGTAAAGGTGGATTGGAAATTTCAAGATTTTTGGTACACATGAAGCTTTTTGTGCTCAAGTTTTGCTCGAAAGTAGCATTTTGAGGTGGGCGATGGCTTCGGTGGCTGTTGGAGCAGGTGAATTGCAGCCTGCAGCTGCTGCAACGGTGAGGCAGGAAATGCAGAACTGGGTCTCATTTCCAAATTTTTTATTGCCTGATCATTGGGTCTGTTTGCAGTCCAATGAGCGACAGCTGCATAAGTTGGAGACTGTGGTGAATCATTTGATTCGCATGGGACTGCGACACCCGTCTGAGAGGACGCAGGCAACTTTGGCTGCTATAGTCAGCCACGTGGGGCCGAACGCAATGGATCCCTTTGCTGCGCCGGATGTCCCAAGGCAGACGGCTTTGCTAAGCACAGTCAAAGCGGTTTGCAAGACTCAATTGTTGCGCTTGCGCAATGTTGGCTTGCCTATGCCGGGAGGATATATTATCGAGCTACCCGCATCGGTGCAGGATTTGCCGTTGGCTTTGCGGAATGAGATGTTTCCGGGTGGTGGTGTGCCGCCGCCAATGGATGTGAATCCGATTTGGCAGGTGGCTCAGGCGTGGGCTGTGCGCAGCACGCATCGGCCTCGGACGATGGGGCAGTCGAACCTAATGGGAGCTGCAAGCGCTTCTGATGCTGCTAGCATTGCTGCGCAAGCTGCGCTTTCGACAGTTTTGGCTTTGGCTCCGCATGTGGCTGGGGCACGTGGCTCTTCTTCGGATGCAGTGCCTGGATTGCAGATTTTTGGCGGAGTAAACCGCGCGACTTCTGCTGCGGCAAGTGGCAGTCGAACAGAGTTTGGAGCATTGCTAGATCGAGCATCAGCAGGAAATGCTGACTCAGCAACTCCAACTGTGACTCCTGCTTTGGCTTTGGAAGATAGACCACATGCAGCTGTAGAACCAGTGGTCCCTGGCATCGCGCAGCCCACTGTGGCTCAGCCGCCTCCTACTGCAGTACAGTCGACAGAGGCTTTGGAGACTGAAGCAGCTGATGCTGAGCCGGATCTGGAGATGAACCTTGCTGCGCTGGCTGATGCGCACTATAATTGCCCGTTGCCGTCAGTGGTTGGCTCCCCTGCAAAGACTGGGGAAAAGATGCGCAAACCGGCTGCAGCTGCAACAAAGATGCGCAGGCCAGCGGCCGCACCGCGGTCGGCTCCCGCTCAGAAGCTGAAGCGGCCAGCTGCCGCTGTGAAGGAGGCGGCGTGTGGCAGGACTGTTGCTGTCAAGAGGCGACCAGCAACAGGCGCTTCGACCACCAAGTCGGTGACCAGGTCGCAAGCCAAGCGTCTTCGACCAGAGGGCTGCAGCAAGTGTCGGTATCAGTGCGGCTGTACGCCAAGTTGTTGGCGCAAGGATGGGATTACATTTTTGAGAGATTAAATGCTGCTACGGCAGCGTTGACGATTGGAAGCTGGATGCCAACTCACCGGTCTGCAGACGTGATCTTCGTGGGATGGTTCTGTTTGCCGGAAAAGAGTGTGCTGCGGGGTTGGGTCTGCGGTTTGGGCTTGAATTATACATAAACATATATATAAATAATATCATTCTCTTTGTCTCTCCCTCTCTCACTCTCTCTGTCCGGGTTTGTCATGCTTTCGATTCTCATGGATTTTTTTTCAAGGGCATATTGTAAATATTTCGTTGTAGTTGCGCTATGCGCTCGCACTATGCATGGCGCTATGCTGGGGACGCTGTGGAAATACAGCTGGGAAAGGTTGGTGAAGATAGATCGGTGATGTTGCACACATTACCGGCTTTGTGGCAGAGACGCGGTCAGAAGCGAACTGACGCGGATGTCGTGTCGCTTGATTCGCCTGTGCGTAAGAAGACGAAGCCAAATCCAGAAGTGCCGCTCTCTATAAGGAGCAGCAAGTGTTGGCAGATCGTGTGGCTGCTACTCTTGAGCATATGCGGCATGCGTGTGCAAATACGCTGTCGGCAGCCCGCAAGCGTACTCATGTGGATCTCTTGGAAGCAGCAGCGCTGGATGTGCTAGATGCGACGCAGACTCCGGAAGGCATCCGCACCATCCGTGAGGTCGTTATGAAAGCGGAGGATGCAGTGAGGCAGAGCGCTGCAGACATGTGATATGATGTGATGCATCTGATGCTTGGGAAAATGAGTTTGCATTTGGGTCTGTGCTGCTGGGACTGCATTTCGGCTTAACATGGTGATTAAATCTATATAACCCCCATGTAATTGCATTATCTCCGTGTAAACTCATTATATTTATATAAATATATAAATTTGTAAAACCCCATTGTTCTGTATTCATTTTTTTAACGCCCATGTCACATTAATCTTGCATGATGTTTAACATTCAACCTCATTGCCTCCCACGTGACTCGCACGTAACTCCAAATAATCCATGAAATATTTTTTTAAAGACCAAAATGTCCAAAACAAACGAAAATTGGGGATCGTCCATGGGAATCCTTCAACAATTTCATCCAACTGTGCCCGCAGCTATACTTTTGCCTCAGCAAAGCGGCTGCCCCCACAGAGATGGACGCGCCAGCGGAGGCGAGACTCGGGAATGGAACCAAGCACACACAGAGAAATATTACGTGGGTTAATATATGTATATATTAATTATATGTGAAACATCTATCTTTCTATATATAATACATAAAACATTTCAATATATATATATAGCTATATAGATATATAGAGATATAGACATGTAAAAGTGGAAAAGATGTAGCGTAGCAAAGTATCAGCGCTGGCCGCGCTTGCCAGCTGATTGAATGCACTTGCCTACGGGCAGTGCAATTTGCAAGCTGGCCTACGGGCAGCTGACCTGTTGCGCTCGCCGATATGGGCAGTGCGTGAAGCTAGCCTACGGGCAGCTGAGCTGTTGCTCTGGCCTGCGGGCAGTGCATGAAGCTTGCCCACGGGCAGCTGATAGGATGCGCTCGCCTAAGGGCAGTGCATCAAGCTTGCCTACGGGCAGCTATATAGCTTGCCTACGGGCAGCTGACGCCTTGCGCTTGCCTACGGGCAGTGCAGCAAGCTTGCCTACGGGCAGCCCAACTTCCCTGCTAACGATTCGAATGGCAGGCTCCAAAAAAAATATAACAGATATATATATATATATGTCTATAAATTGCTTATATAGAAATAAATATATGTATATATATATATATGTGTGTATTTGTATAAGACACACACACAGTACATATATGTTATATATATGTTTTTAATATCCTTTCCCGGCCAGGTAACTCATGAGCGGTCGACTTCGGAAGAGTCCGCCCACAGGCCACGAGGCCGTGACGCAGAGGATAGCCGGCCTGAAGGCCCGGAGCTGTCGGCGCCGGAGCCCAAATCTGTTGAGAGTGAAGGCGGCAAGCCAGCAGAAAGCGACGCTGCAGCAAGACCGGCGCCTTCTGAGGGAGATGGGAGGTCCAGGACCAGGACCCGTGGTGGCTACAAGGCGAACAGGCGGGCAGAAGGCCGTCAGCCTTGTCAGTATTGTGGCCGTCCCGTGGCTGACACCTTGTCCGGACGTGCTCAGCATGAGGCTTCAGAGTACTGCCTGACGCGGAAGTATTACTATATAGAACGCATGGGTTGGGCGCAGGCAGAAGAGAGGGCACAGAAGGAAGTGGATGCGGCGTGGTGGCAGAATCAGAAGATGCCGGATAAGAATCGAGCACCTCCGGAGCCGCCTCTGCCGCCGAGGATGGATAGATCACGCGAGGAGGCGCGCCGCGACGTCATGGAGGAGTTGGATATTCCGGTGTGGGAGAGGGAGATGTTCCGGAGCCGCTGGAAGCGTGAAGAAAAAGGAGAGGAGCCGTTGGAACTGAAGCCGGCCTCCATGCAGAGCAGGAATCGCGCAGAGCCACGCGAAGAATCGCGGCAGGGTGCTCCGCGTCCGCGCAGCAAGCCAATTGCGCGCAAGGCGCGGGCACGGAGCAAGCGTGAGTCGCGCAAGTCGCGTTCACGCAGCAAGCGTGAGTCGCGTGAGTCGCGCAAGTCGCGTTCACGCACCAAGCGTGCGTCGCGTGAGTCGCATGAGTCGCGCAAGTCGCGTTCACGCGGCAAGCGTGAGTCGCGCAAGTCGCGTTCACACGGCAAGCGTCAGACGCGCATGTCGCGCTCACCCGGCAAGCGTGATACGCGCAAGTCGCGTTCTCACGGAAAGCGTGACACGCGTAAGCCGCGTTCACGCAGCAAAGACCCTGAGAGGTCTGACAAAAAGAAAAAAAGAAGGGACCGCATCGACCGAGAAAGAAATCCGAAAAAAGGAGCAGGAAACGAAGAGCACAGGCACGCGCGTAGCCGCTGTCAAGCCCGCAAAGCCAGCCGCAAAAGAAGAGAGTTCGTCTAGCTCCGACAGTAGTAAGGAGAGCTCAAGCTCTTCCGACGGCGCGCCGGCTGCAGGCGCCACCGCAGCCCCGGCAACAGCAGTGCCGAAGCGTGCGGTCAAGTCTGCAGCCAAGAAGCCGGCGTCCGTTCCAGCCGCGCCGGCCGCGGCTGCCAGCGCAAGCAGCGCCTCCCAACGCGCTGAGCTTGCCAACCAATTGCTAAGGACGGCTATGGAGATATCCTTGCGTCGAGATTAAGGACGCAGACCACAGCATGGACTGACGCGACCTTTGCGGGAAAAAGATCGCGGCTGGTGGCTCAAATGTTTCAATGTTGTATATATGCAATGTTTTCATTCCAATGGAACACGCTTAAAAACATAATGTGTTCTAAATGTGTTCTAATGTGTTCTAATGTGTTCTATACACCCGAAATATATATCGAACGCGTATGTGTTCTATGTCAAACCAGAAAAAACACCATGAACGCGTATGTATTCTTTAGAAAACAAGATAGAACGCGTATGTGTTCCGGCCCTCCGAATAGAACGCGTGCGTGGTCTGTAACTATCATGAATGTGTTCTTTATATAATAAAAATAATCACAAACACAATGTGTTCTAAATGTGTTCTAATGTGTTCTAATGTGTTCTATACACCCGAAATATATATAGAACGTGTATGTGTTCTATATCAAACCAGAAAAAACACCATGCACGCGTATGTGTTCTTTAGAAAACGAGATAGAACGCGTATGTGTTCCGGCCCTCCGAATAGAACGCGTGCGTGTTCTAACCTATCCTGAATGCGTTCTTTATATTATATATATATATATTATAACCACCAAAAAACATTGCGTTTGTTGGACAGACGTTCCATCACCGCAGAAATTTTTCACGTCCTCAAGGTGTCATACATCAGTGCAAGGACATGGCTGCCATTGTTGAGACGCCGGAGGCTACGCAGCCTGAAGCTGTGGAAGTTCCGGCTGAAACTACAAACGACGAGCCTGCGCAGGCTGAGGCAGAGACGAAAGTTGCCACAGCCCCTTGCGCTAAGTGCAGGGTGTCCTGCACGGTGACCGAGATGGTCTTCCGCCCCCAGTATAAAGATGGACTGCAGTATACGTGCAAAGGTTGCAATGCTGTAAGTGCACAGCTGCAACGCAATGGCCTCTTCGTCGGCCAGCTGTTGAAGACGGAAGCTGACATGATTCAGTTCTACTCGGATGCGGCGCTGGAACGCAAAAATTGTGAGCAAGGCCGCCTCACTTTTGCGAGGACTAGAGCGCTCCTGAAGAAGCAGATGGTGCATGAGATCCAGCGGCGAGAAGTGGACAGGCAGGATGCCGAATGGCAACCGCTATCGGTATATGAGTTGCGCGGATATGACATTGAGGCGATCCGCGCCCGTGCGCCCATGGAGGATCACCCCATTCTGGGGGAAACCTTCAAATTAGAAATCCACAAGGAGTCGCTGGAAAACATCACCCTGCAGGTCGAGCGGCAGCTAGCAGAAATGGAGCATGCTGCTCTCGAGCGCAAGAAGAGCGCCGCTGCAGCTGCAAGCACGGTGGCAGTCCCAGAGCTGGACTTGGAAGCCATTGCTGACGCTCCTGCAGAGCGCAAGAGAAAAGGACCGCTGACCGCCGATGAAAAGGAAGCGAACAAGATGGCGCGCCTCGCTGCCAAAAAGAAAGAGGATGAACGCAAGGTTGCGACAGCGTCCGCGGCCAAGGTGCTGCCGCAGCTGAAGAAGGCGCAATGCAACTTGAAGGACAAGATCGGTCGCATGGGGGAAGATATGCAGCAGCTTCCTGCTGCCAGCTTGGAGCAAGTCCAAACGGCGGAGGCCAATTTGGATGATGTGGTTACCAAGGCATCGCAGCTTCTCGATGCTGCGGCCAAAGGGAAGCCGTTTGATACGGCGGACCTGAGTTGGAAGAAGGAGAAGGAACTGAATCAGTTCGCGAAGGACGCCAACCAAGCCATCCGAACGATTCAGGAGTACAAGCGCGGCAGCGCGCCTGCTAAGGCAGCTGGCAAAGGGCGTGGCAAGGGAGCAAAAGGCACTCGCCTTGGTGGCGCCTAGGTGTTCCAAGTTGTCTTCAGCTATAGCGTGATCGCATATGCTGAACCCGCGAGGTCGCGGCCAGAATCATTTGTGCATGTGTGATATAACACATTGCGCTGCATAGACTGCAAACAATTCGAAGTTGGCACATAAGTCTTTACCAAAGGCATCTTGCTTGTGTTGCAGGGAAAAGGAAACCGGCGATATGTGGCGGAAGGGTGTTTTGGCTTGTGCCTGCATGGACTGCATGGACTCATGCCGTTGCACTTTTCACGACGTACATGCATACCTCTAACCCTTTAGATATATATAACATGCTAAATATAATATGTCATATAGATAAAAACATTTGCCATGTGAATATACATTATGACATGTATGGAAATATCTTACGAATCCACATTGCGCACTTAAGTATCTCTCTCTCTTCTGATAGAATATATTCCCTTATAGTTATGCGTTGTATATATGAAAGTGCATTTGCAGGTAAGAACATGATCAAAATTCATTTTTTGAACTGCAGCATTTTTTCTCGGAGCAAAAGCAACGCAATCCCACGCCATGTCTCAGGCAAGCAGCGTGGTGCTAGTGTCTGTGGCTGCGGAGGCGGCTTATGCAAGCCTGAGTAAGAACGCAAGCCCCAAAGATCTCCATGACATGGGTCACGGCTCAGTTGAGTTGCTCCGGGAAGTCTTGACGCAAGTCGAGATTGGTGAGAAGCATCCGGAGTTGAAGCAGACAGCAGAGGCCATGGGGCTGCTGCTGCTCCTTCTAAAGGGCTTGTTGCTCGGATGGGATTGCGAAGACTTTCCAAAGGCAATTTTAGAATTGCCATTGCAACGGCTGCCAAAAACATGGCCCAACCACGCGTGGAAATTGAAGCACTCATGTCCGCAAGTATTGGCAGATGAGGTGAAAGCAAGTCTTCGGTTCCTGGACAACCAGCCGACTCTGTCAGGTGAGCCCTGGGAGTGGCTAGCAGACAGCTTCCGGAGCATCCAAACGGTCTTAGAGTAGACTATATACATTCGCAGCCTATTGTACAGGCGGTTCTTTTTGAATGCAGCTTGCGCATGACGCAACGAATGCTATGCTGTGGAAAAGGCATGAATCGATTCGATTACAGTATCCATGTCGGCCAGAATGGTTGTAACAGAGGCCGGATTCACATTCTATATAGAATATAACCATATATAAATAAGTATACATTGACAGTGCTTCTGCCTGATGTATATCATTCTATCTATATATAAATAAGATATATATATATATATATCTTACTCGCACACACCGTATGAAGAAATTGTTCTTTAAACTATCATATGTCGTAGTGCATCCGTCTAGTCTGATCCCTTCCGGCACGCATTCACGCAGCTTATCCTGTCTTATCCGCAGGTTTTTTGTTTGGCCCTTCAGCAAAACATGCTGCCCACGTCCCAGCCAGCGGCGAAGCGCCGGCGCCTGGAGAGCGCCATGGCGCGCTACAGTGAGAACAGCATTGCCCAGATAAAAAACATAGCAGACGGCAAAGACATAAAAGACCAAAGAAGCGGATGGCAGAAGCGCGCCTTCGCTATCGCGCTGGCACCTGCGAGGCATTGCTTCCATGCGCTCGAAGCGCCAAACAAGGACTGTTTGGAGCAACCTGTGCGCTTTGCAGTGGCACGGATGGATCCGCTTCTCAAGTACGTTGCCGGCAAGTGCCCAGACTTTCGGGCAGACTTGGAGCAGGCGCCTTCGCCTATCCAAGTCGTCCTCAGCTGGGATGAAACCACCGCAGGCAATGTGCTGGCGACCCAGGCCCGCATGAAAGCAACGATCTTCTATATCACCTTCAAACATTGGCAGAAAATACATGAGTCACCCGATGCGTGGATCCCAGTGGCAGCTATCAGCCACGAGCAGGCTGAGCAAGTCGCTGGCGGAATGAGCAAGGTGCACCAGTTGTTTGTGGAAAACTTTGTGGAACAACGATTAGATCAAGGTGTATGGATTTCACCCACCACCAAAATATCTCTGGAACTTGCTCTCTTTGTGGCAGACCAAGATGCGCAAAGGGCCGCGCTGGCAGCAAAAGGTTCTGCTGGTTTGAAATGTTGCGCCTTTTGTCAAAATTGCTTGGCTAAAAATGCCGCCGGCGCAGCTGTGGACGCCCAACGTTTTCGCACCACAGCCTATGCAGATATAGAGTGGTTCACTCCCAACACGCAAATGCAACTCCAGGGATACATCAGGAAGGCCTTAGATCGCTGGTCCGACATGACATGTAAGGACAAAGACCTGGTAGAGAAATGCCTGGGTTTTCGGATCACGTGCGACAGTATGTGGGTCTCAGATGTTTGCTGCTCTGCGCTGCCGTTGCAACGGTACATGAATGACGCAATGCATTGCTACTATGCCAATGGTGTGGCAGCTATAGAAATTAATTTGTTACTGCAAGCAGTGCAACGCTGCACTGGGGTTTCCAGCTTAGACTTGAAGCAGGCAGTGCTCCAAGCAGGCTGGAAACGAAGTGGTCAATCGTTGCGTGAAGGACAGAACAAATGGTGGTGTGGCCGTCTCTTTGTTCCGGCTTTTTTTGTGGGTTCCACTTACAAGGGAACGGCGAAGCAAACCATGGCTTTGCTGCCTCTGCTCCTATGGTTGGCAGAAAGCGTCTGGAGCAAAATTGCTGCTCTGCGGCCTATGGTGGACTCTTTCATCAAGCTTGGCAAATGCGTCCAGTGTCTCCGCAGCATTGCGGAAAGCCGCAATTGGAAGGAGTTGCAAAAGCTGCAAGAGGCGCATCAGCAAGCGTTCGCGCGCTGCTGGCCCGAAGAAGTTAGACCGAAGCACCACCACCGCTTGCATCTGCCCCGGCAATACGCGGCGGAAAAGTTTGTCGGCTCATGTTGGGGAACGGAGTCGAAGCATCGCTTCTACAAAAGCTGCTATGCAAAAAACTTGCAGCAATTCCTCACTGCAAAAGGTGGCGGCTCGGAATTTAGCGACAGATTAATGCCACGGCTGCTTCTCAGACACACAGAACTCATTCGGGCAAAAGTCTTCGCGCCAACGCGCTTTGTCCTTGAGAACTTGTTCGACCCTGTAGACGTCGATCAATTCGCAGCCGGATTGGAAGCCTGTCGCGTTGCAGCTCGCTGCCGCACGGGTTTGCTGCAGCTGCAAGAAGGCGATCTCTTGCTGCATGGCACAGACGCCACGGAAGCCGGGTATTGTCACTGCTTCATCGACCACAAAGGTGAGTTGTATGTTTATGCAACTCTCTGTTCGCTCGTGCTGCACACTGCGGCACTGAGAAAATTCGAGCGCACCACAACCAAGCAGATGCTGAAGTGGAACAATTTGCTCACGCCTGCCGTGTGCAGCTGGTGGCGCCCAAGCCATCCAAATTACGTTTTCTGCATGCCTTGAGAGAAAAAAAGGTGCTCGCGCCATGACTCCAACCTCAAACGGTTAAAATAATCGTGAAAACCATTAAATTTAGCCCTAAACCGCAATTACAGCAAACAAAAAACTTAGCGAACTTATAAGATAGATATAACTTGCTTTATAACTTCTCTAACTTAAGTTATGTTAACTTCAACCTATCTTCGGTAACTCAATTATAAATTACATAACTTCATCTTATCTTGCAGGCACCACTTTGTATGAATATAGCTTGAAGATCCCTGGATCATTCACAAAAAAAACAAAAGATCATCCAAATCATTCACCATGAGGATATCCTCTGGTTATTTAACAGTTTGCCATGGAAAATGATCCACTTCTAGATGATTTACATTGATTTACCTACCAAATATGATCATTTTCCATGGCAAACGGTTGGCCGAAACCGGCGAGTGTCAGTGGCTCCCTCGGCGCACTGATAGTTCTTGGCCTGGTCCGCGTAGACCCACATGGCATCTGCTTCGCCAGCCAAGAGCGCAGTAAGGGCATCCTGGGCGACAAAAAAAGGGGATCTGACCAAAATGGTGCTACTCATCAATTTTAAATAATATCATTGAATATAGTGATATGGCAATCACCTAACCAACGAAAATGGTGGTTTAATGGGATTTAATAGGGATATACTTGGGATATAATGAGATATTGAACCAAGAATTGAATATAGTACAATATGATAAGCAACAATAAAAATATAAACATACTATCCCCCCAACACTAAACACCCCCCCAGGTTTATCATGGTTTAACAGGTGATGAAACCACATATTTAGGACTGTAGAATCGGTGTGTTTAATATTAGGGGGATGGGGTTATCATGGGAAATAATTGCCTTAAAGGGAGCATAAATTATAACACTTGTTCATTTATCCCCTTTCGATCCCCGTCCCGTGACAGTCATAACATATTGCCATAAAAATCCATAAAAATCCCCCTTTGACTTCCCATGTTTGAACACTAAGTTTCCCCATTGTGGATGGTTAAATCAATAAGAAACAAACCTGTTAAGCCTGCTTTTTCGTGGTTGTATCTCCATTTTCAACTGTTTGTAGATCATTTTCCTAGGGAAAACAAAGGGGTTTTCCATGGTTTTCCGCAGTCTTTTCTATGTTTGCCCCAGGCTATCCACATTTTTCCGCTTTGAGGCGCGTTGTTGGCATTGTCGGTCGTGGTGCTTGGCTGCACCATTTCGAAACCCGTGAAGCGCTCCTTGCCAGGAGCTACTTGATAGCAAGGATTTGTCTATTATCTATGTATATATATATATATATTTTTTTGTTTATTTGTTTTTTAGGTATAACTAAACATCGGTAATAATGTAATGTGATTGAAATCTCATGCGTTTCTATGATTTACTCTTAGATCAACATCTTATAATTGTCATAACCCCTGTTGTTCATTTGCAGCAACATCGTCACAGCGAGGCAGTTATGTTACCAATAGATAGATAGGCAAACCCATGACATGTAGGTAGACAATCGATCGAACTAGACTGTATAATACGATATATCCATACTATATTATATTAATTAAATAAATAAACAAACAAATATATAACGGTATATATATATATTATAAATTATCAAAACAAATATATATTATATATGCACATACCATATAGGAATCATATTGGCTGCGCTACCTTTTCCGCTCCGGCGTTCCACATCGTTCCGTGCTCCGCGCCTTGGTGCACTTGTTCTCTGCCAAGGCCAAGGTATCGGCGGTGGGAGCCCAGCCCACCACGTCCACCACCTTCTTGCCTTAGAGCCAGGCCAGCTAGACCTGGTAGGTTTTTCTGGCGCCGAAAATCGGAAACTCAAAGTTCTATCTTAAGATGAGAGCTAGGGATTTCTGCAATTTCATTGATGTAAGATCGACGTATTGATCAATTTAAGTTCATGGGATATATATAATGGAGATAACATATCATATTTACCACCATGTTTGGATATTTCATATGACCTGTAGGTACTAAATGAAACTGTCAAACTCATGGTGAAGATCATGGGATAACTGGTTGGTGCTTCGGAAAACCACCCCCCTGAAAAAAAAACATCTGGAAAGTCGCTGGGAATTAATCATCATCATCAATCATCCCATACCTATTATTAAAGCTAAACATCAATTGATCATTGATCACCTATGGTTGAACCATGTCTATGGTTAAAAATCAGCAATCAGATTGAACCAGCAACCAGCTCGATAACTGCCAGTATCATCATGGCAAAGTTTCCAGGTCGATCCAGCGAAAGGGATTGTGGGGAAGTGACATGGTCAGATGTTGCGAATTCCAGAAGTTCCAAATCTTCATCCAGCAAAACACCAAAGTCATGAACACAGTCTTGACTTGACTTGATAATGAAATTTAATTGGACCAAATCATTGGTGGGAAAGTCTGCTTCAAATTGGAATACAAAATGGGCCAGCAAGAGGCAAGTTGCTCTATGAGTAATGACCGGGCTTTCTGGTGAATATATGTACAGTCGAGTGGGTTTTGAAACCAATTCAAAGCCCGGAGGCTCACTCTAAGTATAGGCATGCTCTGTCTCAACAGATGGGGGCAAGTGCCCCAACAGCTGGTCTTGTCTGAAAACAGGGTCCCAAACAAAATGTGAATCACAATTGCCCCCACGAAAATGGACACAACTGCGGGTGCGCTGATGCAAATCATCCACTTGGAGCAGTGTGGTGTTGCCACTTCCAGGGTTGAGTCACCACCGGGTCCACTGGTTCATATTGAGCCTCCATGAAACTGGATCTCCCATTGGGAGACTCCCAACATTCTTGTCTGATCTCGAGGCTACATATGTTACCCTCTGGTAATTTCGCATAGCTACTGAAAATGGCCATTGAGTTCGTTGATGTAGCTATTAAGTCAATGGTGATGTTCCAGTCCACTCTGATAGTTTACCAGGGATGAGTTTTTTTGGTCCCCATTCCCTTGGTGGTGAAATTATCATGCTAGATTCAGATCCACATTGGCCCATAGAAAGATCCCCTGTCAATGATCCGCTATTCATTGGCTAGATCACCATGTTTGATGATTCAGAAGACCGCTGATAAAATACAGTAAACATAAATTCGCCAGTACCTACATCTTGTTAGTTAGTGATACCAGTAGTACCGCACAAGGCGGTGGCGGAAGTTTCAATAATAGGAAACCTATAGGAGAGGTTAGTTGTTGTGAATCAGGGATGGCAAAGCGAAGCCACTGATGGACCGAAAGGTGCTTGAGGTCTTCTCTCTGTCTCTCTCTTTCTCTGACTATCTACCTACCTACCTATCTATTTTCTATGTATCTA